CACTTTTCACTTTCTTAAGTGCTGTAAAATTTTCAACAACTTGCGACAAAAAGCTTTTTGGTGACACTCTGCGTTGCTCTCTATGGTTTCTGATATTGTATAGAATTAAGAGTGTATCCTGTGTTTCGACCAGTACTCATACTTCAGACCTGTTTAAAAAGGAAATAAGTTGAAGTTGAGAGCAAAGTTAAAAGTTTGCTGGAATTTGAGGAATTAAACAGAAATGTGGAGCATTTAGTACTTTCAGTCTTCAACCACTCAAACGTAGCTTCTTTTTTCAACGATTAAGGTTCTTAAAAAATCCAGTCGAATTGTGATGTACTCAGTAATCTTGTGCACATTCTTGCGGTAAGCAATGAACCACACTTTTTCTATGAAGGCTAATGATACTACCTGGCTGCTCGCATCTCGGTAAGTGACACGGGATAAAAACCTGTGACCCTCTGGTTGAAAATCATCTCTCTTAACCAATAAGGGACAGCTCTACTGTAAGATTGTGTTGTTTACTGGACTATTTACAAGGAAGCTGATATCTTATGGAATAAATTGAACTTTTCTTTTCTTACACCAAGGTTTTTTATGAGTATTCTGTTCACATGGATATCTGCAGTAGTCTTAATGCTCAACCATTCAACTTTATGTAATCAAACCAGAAGTAGGCAGTTTCCAAGGATGCAACAGCACATGCATTTCAAAATTGGGGGAGATGCACGCATGACAAATATTCTTGATTAAAACATTCATTATTTGCGTTTTTACGGTAACCTCCCTCAGGACTTAGACTAAATCGTTTCTTTCATTTTTTTATCAGGTCGTGTTGCTCGAGCTGGCCGAAGTGGCAGTGCATATTCTTTAGTTGATCCAGAAGAATTACCATATCTGTTGGACGTATTTATGTTTCTGGGCAAAGAATGGCAAACATGTCAACCATCAAACAATCATACTGAATGGGAAAGCGATTGTGTTGGTCGCACACCAAGAAGCGTGATTAGCAACCTAGCTACTCGCCTTCAGAATGTTTGCTCTGAAAATTCATCTCTGGTATGCACTAGGAAACAATTGTGTATACTCCTTGGTTAGCTAGTTCTTCTAGTTGTAATGTATCAATTCAGATATCATTATTTCTATATCATAGTCTTTCATAGGCATTTGATATTCATCAATAACATCTTACTACTGTTCTATGGAATGCATTTATGGAGATGCTTTCATTCGACCCTGAACTGCTGATGGGCTAAAAAAGCTTGTTACTCATTGGTTTCATTTTATTTGACTATTTCACACATAGTTCTTATCAAACAGAATATAAAACTGGACTTCTGAAAGTTAAGTGCATTCACAGCGAATCCTAGTGACAGATATTGCACATGTTTTCCAATGCTGACTAGTTTTGACGTCCTAGTCCCCATTTGTTCTATCAATACTGATTCACGAATAATAAAGCTCTATAAGTGTGCAGATCATTCATCGGGGGATTTCTTTACTTCATGATTTGTTTGCTTCTACTATTTGAGGATGGATAATGTCAGTAGAAGAAAAGTTTAGATGATGAAATAAAGTTATAAACATCCAAGTCATAGTTGTTATGAGTGTTTTGGAATAAGTTGAGCGCCGAGTCTGATTTAATCACTACATAGGTAGGCTTTATTATAATCGCAGCGTGTTTAGAAAAAAAAAGATTTCTCTAGACTTTTGATTGTATATATTTTGATGTGCAATAAAAATCTGAATACCCTGCTGAAGAAGCTGTGGCATACACAACGAAACGTTTAGAAAAACTAATGTCAGTCTACGATGAGTACCAACTTGAAATATCTGTAAATCCCCACAAACTCCTCAAGATTCAATTGAAATTGGTGCTCATTGGTGACTACTTTCGAGAGGTGATTCCCGAAGTTCCAGTGAGAAGTCGTGACCAGTGGGGCAAACCTGATGGTCGTGAGGACAAATACTCAACAATGACATTGGGTGACGGTGGTGCTGTGTCGTGAATCGACAGAAATTAGAATTTGGACCACTGGATTCTGACCAGTGGCTCAATGGTAACATGCTGGTCACGGGACCTGAAGGTCACGGGTTCAATCTGTGGCGGGGTCGTGTGTGCGCGCTGCTGAAGAGTCCCATACTAGGGCGAAACAGCTGTCCAGTAGTCCCAGGTTTCCATTGTTCCTCCAATTGATGTCAATCTGTGATGAATACCAACTTGAAAAACTTGTTTTGAATTTCTAAATACACTGGAATTATACTAAAACTTACTCATATCACTATGAAATAAGGAGTTCGAATGAATGAAAGAAATTAGTGCAGTCTCTCGAGTACTATACGCTCCGCATTGTTCGACGCTGAGAAAACTTCAAGAGACAAGCTTCCACAAGAGAATAGCCATTTTTTTCTCCATGACTACCTACGTCAGCATATTTTGCCGAAGAGTGTCAGATATATATAGACCACTGATTGACTATACGATGAGATAGAGAAATGACAAAAAAAGTGTCATAAAAGCTGAACAACTGTAAAATGCTTTATCAATTAGGACAAGTACAGTTACAAAGCTAAACATTTCCTAATTTCCGTTAGTAACTTTTTGATCAAAATATAGCGAAAACAATTAACACAGTGTAGTTTTAATGCATATGATTCAAATTAATTTTCATTTTCAATAACGGAATATAGACGTGTTACGGTTGAAACCAGCCCAGTGCTCTACCAACTCAGTCACACGACCCCGTTACTAACCCTAGACGACAACTAACTGACAAAATCAACGTAAAACCTCACACACTTTACAGTAGTACACAAAGGAAATGTGGATAGAAAAGGAGTGATATGAAAGTAGACAAAGTAATGAGAGACAATAAACAATCTGAAGATAAAAGTTATTGTGAATATTCAAGCTTTAGAAGATGTCAAGAAGTGAATACATTTACTCCATTGTGACTGATTTTCAGCCTTATCACCAAGATTCCTCGACCACTGATTCTTTCCTTCTTAGGAACCCCAGCGAGTAGTCTACACTTTACTACATGGCTCAGACCAACAGTAAGAGACTTCATGGACTTGTACCACATCGTGGTCTGGCCACTTTAAACTCATTTCCAACCCAACTCAACTTCCCCCAGCATGGCGTGTTGAGTAGGCCTCTGGTTTGAATCCTGTCGTGATGCAGATTTTCATTTTACTTCCAGTCATCACACAGTGTCTATGATGAACTATCGATATCGTTATTTAGATATCAACTCCTTGATCAATCTAAAGTGGTAAAGGAACTATGCCGACCACGGATTCAACATTGTGCTGCTACACCGTGTTTGTTGAGAGAGGACAATCGAGAGAATGCTAGTAAAAATGGTCATAGTGAAAGTGAATACATCTCCTATAACACTGTAATCGAGTTTAAGTCATGTCACTAAGATTCTTCTGACATCTTGAGGATCCCAATCAATTAACCTGCATTTCTTTACATGACTCAAACTAGTATACACAAGAAATTCGAGGATTGACACCATCCTTCATTCCCTTTCAATTTAAGCCTATTTCGGTTAACATTGTGTGTCGAAGGAAGCTGTTTGGCGTGTCTGTTTAATCTTTTCTATTGAGTGGTAGAATCTCAGTGGCCTACATATAATGACATTTCCTTAGAAGTGTGTAGTCTGTGTGTTGCTATCAAATTTTATCGTGAACGTTATCTGAATGAAAAGAATTTGTATGATTTTAACCTCTGGGAATCAGCATTATTTTTTAGGATTTTTTTCCTCATTGATCCTTCATCTGACAACAAGTAAGAATGATTAGGCGTGCACTAACTTTATGGGATGTGGTTAATTAATTTAGGCAGTCGATAATCAGTTAATCGCCGGTTCGAATACCTCCCCATCTACCGAGGTTTGTGCACCCAGGTAGTATCACTAGCCCTCACACAACAGGTGTGGTTCATTGCCTACTGCACGATTGTACACAAGGTTGCTTAGTATACAGTTCAGTGTACATTAGGAACTGAAATGAAACTTCTTATTGGCTGATACTTTTCATACACAGGTCGTCTATTTCAACCAGATTTATTCATACACCTACTAACGTGGTTTTCAAATCAGATCAACTTCGTTTGAGGTGTTTTTATGAATGAAAACAATGAAGCAGAAAGATACAGATGCAATGATGTGGTATTCATAAGAGATGATGATATTCAACAAGAACTGGCATAAGTTAAAGGACACTAACTTGGAATAAATAAACCACTACGAAGCTCGTTTGGATACACTGAAGCTATTCATGCTCACAAAAGGCACCAGAGAATCAGCATAGGAAATGTAAGAAAAAAAGAAATAAAGAGACTCACTCAGTAACCTTGTGCACATTCATGCAGTACGCAATAAGCTACACGTATTATATGAACACTTATGGTACTATTACCTGGTTGCCCAAACCTTATGAAGTGGAGCTGGGCTCGAACTCGTGACTCACAGATTGAAGGTCAACTCCCTGAACCAATGAGCAACAACTACAGGAAATATAGAAGAATAATGAATGATAGACATTTAAGCTATCAATTTTTTGTTCAGAAAACCCCTATATTTCTTTTTGTATATCAAAATGTCTTACCTTATTGACAATATACTACTACATAGCATAATTGACATAAAGAATAAAACTTTATCGAAACAAGAGTGAAATCAAATGAACTCATGTATAAGCAAAGCATTTAAGTTCGACCTTTGTTTTAACTTTTTATTCGTCACTAACTACTGATGAGCACGTGTGTTGTTATCCTTTTTAAAGTGGCTTATTATGTTTGCTTAGATAGATATACAGATTTTTTAACTCCCTGATGTGGACGAGATACAGAATGATGTTCAGACGATCAGATTAAATCAAATCACATCCACTTAACTATACTGTTAGTGAAAACTTTGTCCCGAATTAAAAACTGATTTTGTATTGTTAGTTTAATGGTTTTTACGTGTATTTTTGATTTTCCGTAAATATTATCTTTAATCCCTTAGGAGTCAATAAAAAATGTATGTATCAATGCAATGAAGCGATTCATTCAAACTCGTCCAAATCCTTCTTCAGAATCTATTCGACGTGCAAAGGAATTGAGAGAAGCTCATTTTTCACTGCCAGTTCATAATCTTTTTGGTGAGTAAACGAATGAGTTGTTTAAATTAAAAAAAACTAGTGATACATTGCAGTTACCGGTTTTTATCACTCGAAGTATGTCATATTTTAGTAGTTAGTAAAGCTTACCACCAGAAAAATACTTATATACCGTAGAGAAAGTCAGTGTTAATGTTGTCATCTGAAATAGTAAAGATTCAACCGGCTAATGAAAGCAGTTTGATCAACTGTGGACTCTGTGGGTTGTGTGACATTCATGAGCCTGTTACATAACAGGAGGGAATCTACAAGCTCTTATTTGATGGTGTACTAAATGAAATCCTCGTTCATCACCATTGATCAGTTTATTTTTAAAGTTTATAACCATTTTCTCTTTATCCGCCTAATGAAGTCATTGAGCAAGTAAGATTGTACACATAGAATGCATTTTATCTCTTAACCATAGTAGACTATTGTTAGTCATAAAATAATTTACTTAAATAACAAGATTCTGGGTTCCATAATTCTTCGACGCCTGAGTAGAGCTCGGGAATAGCAAGCCCGAGAAAATCAATCAGGCTTTAGACCCGGCCACGGGTATATTGACCAAATATTCACACTGCGTTAGGCTCTGTAACACAGGCATGTCTACCGACACTCGACAATAGCTGTATTTCTCAAGGCGGGGTTCGACTCTGTTGGTCGAGAAGTCTTATGGCAATGTCTCTCACTGTAAGGCGTGCCGAATCAGCACATCAACCTATTGAAGGCTATCTACTCGAACACTTGTGTCGTGTTAGAGCCTATGGTGCGACATCTGGGTAGCTATACTCGCCTAGTGGTGTCCGTCAAGGGTGCCCATTGTCTCCATTCTTATTCGATTTTGTCGTAGGTATTCTCGTGGAGGTCTCCCTCTCGTCAGCTGATTGACCTAATCACGGGAGAATTCTTGTTAGACCTAGAATAATACGCAGATGACATAACCCTGTTAGGTGATGATGCTGACAAGATGCAGAGTCTTCTGGACACTTTGCGTGTTTGGGATGCGTTTCTCACCACCCAAATGCAAATTGTTGCTCCACGATTGGTCTTCAACGGTATCTCAGCTAGCAATAGAGATTGTAGTGATTGAGTGTGCCGACCACTTCACTTACCTGGGAAGCAGGATCAGTCCTACCCTGGTGGCTCAGTGGCCGATGAAATTTTTGCACGTATATAAAAGGTTCGACTGGCTTTTGCCAACTCACACCACCTGTGGCGCCACCGTGATGTCCAATTGTCTATTAAGGGTCGCATGTACTGCACGACAGTCAGCTCTGTTCTGCTGTATGGCTGTGAAACATGGCCATTGAAGGTGGAAGACTTGAGAAAGCTGGCTTCAAGTGTTTGACCACCGTCGCCTTCGTAGTATAGGCCGCCGTATTCCGTGGTGTCACTACATGAGTAACGCAGAAGTCAGGTATTGAGTTTTAGAGAGAAGAGGTAAGTTAGTTGACGAGGTTGTGAACCTTCATCGACTGAGATGGCTGGTTGGGACGCGTGTTACGTATGCCTAGTCGCCGACTGTCTCGTCAGACAATGCTGGGAGAAGTAGGTTCTGGCTAGAAAAAGGCTCACAGGGGTGGCCAGACTAAAACATGGCATCAATGTATGAAGTCTTTGACTGTTGGTTTGAGCCATGTGGTTGAGGTCCACGGGACAAGAGGAACGAGTGGTTGGAGACTCTAGGCGATATGGCTCAGAACCGATGTGAGTGGCACAGATGTGTCCCCACACACATTATCCTCATCTTAACGATGCTATACCTAATCTCACCATTTTCTCATTCCTCCTCTCTCTGTTTTCGTACTTTATATTTCTTTTGACTGGATTTTCTTTTCTTCATCTTGCACTTCACTGCCTTTTTACTCGGTGTACTGACATGAGGTGTGGCAAGTTGGACCGTTAAGCAGTGATGCCTGGTTCTATGTTGATACTGATGAGCAGAAGATAAAAGGAAGTTACAGCATGACCGCCACTGGTTTCGATCTCGCACTATACCTAATAACATCTCAAGCCACTGAGTTGTGCACTCTCTCGGACCCCACTCAGAGATTCATGACGCAACAACAGGTTCTAACCCGATGCAACTATCCCCTATCCCACAGCGCTATGTCATACACTAACCACCCCTCTGCTTCTTCTATCTAGTTTTAGGGCTAACAAAGAATGAACGGTGTGGAAGCTGTTGAGACGACATGAGTAACATGTTCATGCCCCTAAAGTCGGTGTTTCCAGATAATTTCATTTGTCGAACCATGATCTTCATCATACCTAAACACATGCTATCGTACCTTAAGATTACTTATAAGGTGTTGTCACCGGATACCAGCAATCCTACAGAGACAACGATGATCGAACACACAGATGGCTTATAGGTAAAGTTGAGTTTAAAAGGACTAATGATTATTTAGTGTAATGTTATGATCGAGCGATTTCAAAGTTCCCTCCAATGACTAGTAAAACCACTGAATAATTATCTTTATTCTACGGATAAAGTGCCTTTCTGGTCAAATACAGAAACCTCACTATTTCTTTTACTAGTTGCTGGGATGACCTTATGTTAAATCATTTTACACTACTCCACTTAGCTACTGTTTTGTGGTTGCATCTCGACCTTCTTACTTTTTTGTTTCACGTTTCACATGCATTAAATCTCCTTTACGAACTTGATCGCAGGATGAAATGACGTCATTTGCTTTTCGCAGGATTTTCTTCTGCTGCATACAACCTAGAAAATACGTAAATAATCGCCTTAGCAAATATTAACATACTTTATACGGAGTAGTTTTAAGATGCCGGTTTATGTTTTAAAGATCGGGAAAACATTATAATTCAAGACACAAGGGAAGTTCAGGTGATAAATTCAGTCAGACTACATTAAGCAAGGTGAGGGGTTGTTCACGAATGAGTGAGGTAAGGTTTGAAGTAGTGAGAAAGGGTAGTCATGGGAAAATACGAGAACAAAATGAGTAAGTGAGATAAAACTATCGTAATCATAACAAATAAAGTAATAATGAGACGCTATTCAATATTAATATAAATATGAATAAGCCCTTAATAAATATACTAAAAGTATTTTGGCAAGAAAGGGAATGTAAAGAGTCACTAATTAACCGGGGCTGTGATAAATTGGTAACCATTTCTTTTTGAGCACACAGTTCCTGTTGAACTCATCGGATAGTGGTGGCCTCGGAAATTCGAAGTAGATGCAAGGTCTTTTGTCCGTTGACTACACAAGTGATGGGTTATTATACTGTTGAACGAGGATGGACGTCTGAGATGTAGACTCTGGCATGTGTTAGGCAATCCTGGTAGACAACCAACTGCTTCTCTATTCTTTCTACATACTTGCTACTGCACGTACACATGAATTGATAAATACAGTCGAAACTTTGTCTAATTTGGATTGTATACTTGCACACGTTGTTATCTACCAGGATTGCGGAGAACTTACCACAAAGTCTACATCTCAGAGGTCCATCGTGGTTTAACAGTGAATAACTTGTCACTTAGGCGATAGAGGAAATCAAGTAGATCCAATGAAATACATCATGACAGTCAATAGACAAAAGACTTTGTACCTACTTAGGATTACCAAGGCCATCACTATCCGACGACTTCAACCTGAAGTGTGTAATCAGTAGACGGTACCAATGTGGTGTTGCCCTGATAATAAGTGACCTTCCTACCTTTTCATCCTTCTTAAATTATTTCTGTTATACTTATTTTGTGCGTATTCATATCTATATTCATATTGATTAGCGTTTCATTTGTTGTTATGGTTACGATAGTTTTATCTCACCCACCTATCATTATGTTAACATAACATTTCCACATGATTACGCAACCTGCTCTCCTCACTCATTCCTCGCTTTGTCTTATGCTATTTGACTGAATTCATTACATGGAATTCTTTTGCGTCCTGAATTACTGTGTTTTCCTGATCTTTAAAACATTACCGCTTCATGTAATATTTGTTCTAGCGATTATTTACTTATTTATTTAGGTTTTGTGCAGCATAAGGGAATCCTGTGAAATGCAAATGACGTCATCCTATCCTGCAAACGGTGTTTTCATTGCGTTGTTCAGCTGCTTATCACTGATGAGTAATATTAGTCGCATCTTTTTGGTTTTAAGTATTGAAATCTATTGTACTCATATTCGTGGAACAAGTTTTCATTTCAGTGATTTATTTCATCTTCTACTCTCTTGATCCTAGTGTTACATTTGATGTCAATTTTGCATGTGCATTTACCGTTCCATGAATACCGTAATCGGCTGAATGAAGCACATTTCATATTAAACTGCAGTTCTACGCTGTTATTTTCTGCCGACGTACTGCAAAAAATGTGCACTTGATCGTGTGACATACATACCTCAGTGCCTCATGTTTGCAGACTATACTTTCGGTAATGCTTATTGTATCTAGTATTACAGTTCTGTATATCAGACGAATCCTATGATTTGGACTGTACACATCATTCAAGCGTTTGCTTTATTTGTTGAATAGTCAACTTAACGTTTTGATTCCGAATTTCTGCAAAATGAGTCTACAACTTTGAACTCACTTATTTGTTACTATTATCAGCTTAACTTTGGTGAAATGCCCTGCAATTTGTTTATACAAACATTCATATACTTTTTATCATTAGACTTCTGCATATTGATTCTCTCTCCCACCGAACACCTTAATCAAATTGAAGATCATTCTTTCCTATCCATTCGTTTCTTTTATGTTGTTCTACGCATGCCTAACCACCGCCTGCCTCGACGTGTCATGGTGGTGGAACTTGGGTTAGGTTAGAAGCAGGTTCAACGTCGCCTAACCTAGACCTGGCAGCAGTCCATGCAATCTCTTTCTGTTGGCCTGAGCTTTGTGGGGAGATGTAGACTGTCTGGTTGACATCCCCGAGAAGAAAGGGATCAGTGATTGAGGACTGACTCTTGTTGACATAGCTGAAAATCGTTCACAGTACCGCAGATGTATTCACTCCTTCACATCTTCTACAACTTGAATATTCGCACTAACTTTTATTTTCAAATTGTTTATCCTCTCACACTACTTTATCTGCTTTGATATCACCCTTTCTTGTACTACTGTGAAGTGTGGCAGCTTGAGGTGATGCACCTGTGTGCGAGATTCTACACTGGTTTCGTCAGTCAGTTTTATCCAATGGCATATATGCTAAACTCTGGGTCACGGGTTCTAGCCGCTTTCCACCTACCGAGGTTTGGGTAACTAGGTAGTATCACTAGCCCTCACATAGTAGGTGTGACTCATTTCCTGCTGCATATGTGTTCAGAAGGTAGTTGAGTACTTTCCGTTCCGTTTATACTCTCCTCTGGTTTTCCCCGCCTGTCTTAATGTTATTGGTTTTCGTTCGATGTACATGTTTTCCATATTGTCTATACTCCTGAAATATAAATCAACCTAGTTGGATATATTTCATCAATTTACATGATAATTATTTTCCATATATGTCATCATAAATATAATATTCGCAATGAAATATTCACTTGACTTGAATTATTCAGTATAGACGTCCATAATTTGATCTCAGTATGCAGTATATGTCCTACCTAGGCACTATTCAGTCAATCGAAACATTGTATGCATTATATTCTGGTTATAAAATACTTTTATTGCTCTATGATATTCTGTATTTCTATAGATAAGTCAGCTGAAAAAGAAGATGCAACTAGCAATGAAATATTAGATGTAATTCGGCATCTTAAATTACCCGTAAGTATATTATTTTATGTTGACTTCTTACATTATATGTCGTATTTAAATTTATTGTTTTGTACATTCAGTTAGTACTATGCTAAAAAGAGATATTCAAGTTAATGCTTAATCGTAAATTAGGATGTCAATTGGTAGAAAGCTGGAATGAGCCGAAATTATTGTCGACAGTTAAGAAGTGATTCACTGTAATATATAAAGACTGTATCAAGCCACTACAAGAATACAACAAGTGACAATAAGGATATGTACTGATATGTAGTGACATTACATGGTTTGTGTATTACGGCTTATCACTTCTTAACTGCCGTCAATAATTTTGGCTCATTCAATAGACTGTGATTCAGTTGGTTTAACGCTTTTTTCCAAATGTTTTCAATAGATTTATGTGCATATCTAGTGTTTACTTCCCCTTTCAAATGAGTGCTTAAAGATGCTCAAACTTTTAATTTTTCATTCCTTTATACTGTTTTTCTCCACAGACTATATTTGAAGCTTTAGGAAAACATGTGAACCCTCAAGCCTTCGCTACGATGACAAAGAAACGAAAGCTGCATGACCATATAATAGCACGTCGCGCTAACCAACGGGCTATTGGTACAGTCAATAATGGGCTCAAAGTAAGACATAAATGTGCCTTCTTCACTGTCATTATTCTGCTTTTTTATCAGGTTATGTATGGTGTAAGGTCATCGTTTACTTGGACCGAATCTTTCACATAATTTTCCACCCTACTTGAAAAAATAACTCGTCGCTACATGGGGATTATTTAGGTACCTCTAAAGGTCACCCTAACAACAACTGAAACAACCAATAGACTTAGCTGTTTTTTTTGGGACCTGATTGACCGTTTAACTCATTGTTAAAGATAGCCTTTGGAGTCCCTCGATTATTTTATCGTAATTGTTCTGTTCATATTTGGTTTCATTGGACAATTAATACTAGACTAATTTCTATTCCACCTGATAATAAAAAACATTCATGCATTTGGTTTAATCTCCATTTTCTCTATACACTATCTGTTTCAATAGTGAGATAATTTTACTTTGTGCCCTGTATAGCTTATCACATTTCACCTATTCTCATTGATTCATAACTGTAGAGCCTAAAGAAGAAGTTATTGAAAACAATTGTTCACTCATTGAAATGATTCTTGTTTAGTATTGTTTTCCCCCCCAGAAACTTGCCTGGTCGCATCACCGTATAGCTCTTGAGCAATTGACTACATGGTTGGATACAAGTTGCGAACCGTAGGCTTCATGCTCATTATCTGTTGAATTATAGGGGTGGAGGTCTGTAGTAATAGTAACAATAAGGATAATAAGCGGTTTGTTGCGAACAATATGTATGACACTGTGGAATTATCACCATGTAGTTTTTCAACAAATTCACTCCCAGAACAATACTTTCAGATGAAATGGTTATTACATCTGAATAATGTTAATAATAACAGTATTCAAAGCAATAGTGTGAAATAACCAGTTGGTTTTACATAGGCGTCCGGTTCATGATGTAGAATCAACAGAGATCCAAGTGTAAGTTTGGTGGTACAAAAATCCTCAACTGAAGCTAAGTAATCTGACAGACACTGATGTACTGTTGTGCACTGAAAAGTCGACTTCTTTATCAGGTAGTATTTTTCCTCTGCTTTTTTATTTACTCGAGAAATGAAGAGTAGAAAACAGTTTAAAAATGTGCAGGAGTACATGATACTTTCAAAGGATATATTTAAATGATTAAAACAAAATGAAAGGAAATAATTTGGTGAAAAAATGTTCGGTGGACAATTTTGGTAGCCCAAGGTTCAAATAGGCCGCCGTCGGGATAACTTAGAACAGTTAGTTACCAGTATTGCAATCACACTCATCTTTTCTTAAAAGACGAACATTCTACTATTGTAGACAGAACTAATTAATTCCAGGGTCCTTTTTTGTTCATTTTCATTCTCTTGGTCGATTGACTTCTACTATTTTGTATCCAAGTGAATCGATCTGTGGAACAATTCGACAGTACTTGAAAAAAAATTGTCAACTAAAACGTGTCTGTAACACGGGTTACTTACTTTCTACTGAGCATTTATTCATGTTGCTAGCGGGGTGAAGGGTGGGTCATTTTATACCACGCGGACCATAATTTCAAACATTTTTGCTATCGAGTGAAACATTTCAAGACTTCTGATGTTCTTACTGATTGATTTCTCTCTGTAGACTTTGATAGAGAAGAAAGTTTCACTGACAGATCAAATTGGTGCATGTAATACGAATAACGATATATCTGAGAATTTGGAAAACGTAGACTTCTTTGTTCCATATTCACGTGGTGATGAGGCAACAGAAAGTGGATTATCCATCACAGGAACAAAAAATCAATTCTCTTTAGAGGCAGCGGCTGCATCCTTGGATTTACCCAATGATGAATCACATCAAATCAGGTAACTTTTGTGATTTTTTTTTTCAAAATTCATTCTGCACTTAAATTATTGTGATGCATTTGTTGAATGTTCGAACGACGGATGATGAGGAAGGTTTGAATGAGTCTTTCTATAGCTTTTTTGTTTTTTTCCTTTCCATTGAATGAATGAGTGCAGTAGGCAATGGACCACAACTATTGTGCGAGGGCTAATGATACCACTTGACTTCCCAAACCTCGTTAGGTGCGGCGGAGCGGGCTTAGAACCCACAACCTACTGGTTAAAAGTCATCTTTCTGAACCAATGAGCCAAAGCTTCACACTCCAAATATGGTCTCATGGAGCTCTGGTTCATTGGTATAAGCGGTTGGCCATCAACCAGCGGATTTCAGGTGTGAAGCTGAGGTAACGAAGTAGTATTATAAGTCATCACGTAATATGTGGCTCATCTCCTAGTCAGAACTTCTGCTGTGTTGAGATGATGAATACTCACTCGCTGCGAAATGTTTGACTTCACTTTATAAATGACTTTGAGAGAGAACTTTCGTGGAGCACAGTAACCAAAGATAACCAAATGCTCAAGAACCGAGTCTTTTTTCAAAGTCATGTATAAAGTGAAGTCAAACATTTCGAAGCAAGTGAGTATTTATTATCTCAACACAGCAGAAGCTTTGACAATCTAGAACCACAAGCCTGATCTTTTTGTTCAAAAGAGATACTTTCAATCTCTAACTTCGCCTTGGTCGTAATCTCTCTAAGACTGTTTATTCATTGTAATCCTTGATTTGATCTTCTAGCCGTTATCACCTTGTGACTCTAATGACCCTTTTTGATGACTTTGTAATGACCTGTTAGCCATTGATGGATATACATATTCTGTTGGACCTACGGTTATTATTGTACAGCTTTTGAAAGTGATTATTCGAAAAGAAATTATTCTTCACTGAACTGTCTTTTTTTAATCAATAATATATATAAAAGATGAACTTGCTTATTTTTTAATAATCGGTAATTCCCGAACCATAAATAGGTAGAAGGTCGATAGAAACTTCTTGAGTTGAGCTATGTGAAAATACTATAAAACAATACTACCTATCATATATATATATATATATATATATATATATATATATATATATATATATATATATATATATATATATATATATACAATGGTAAGCATCCACTGCGATTTCTTGACATGTTCACCAAGACTAGGAAACTACGGAAGTAGACCGAATCCACCGAAAAATTCAGAGACCATGTTCAGATTCATACACTAGGAGATAAGCCACATATTGTGTGACGACTTATAATACTACTTCGTTACCTAAGCTTCACACCTGAAATCTTAACCAGTAGGTTGTGGGTTCTAAGCCCGCTCCGCCGCACCTAACGAGGTTTGGGAAGTCAGGTGGTATCATTAGCCCTCTCACAATAGGTGTGCCTCATTGCCTACTGTACTCATTCATGTAGATTACGAGGATGTTTACGAATTATGAAAATAACCTACAGAATGTGTAGCGTATTCACATTTCTGTCTGTTAGATATCCAATTTACAGTTCACAATTTTATTTCATCTCTTTAATTCAGTGGTATCAAAGGATCTCATAACCGAAAACTGGTTTGGGATCGTAAACGCAAACGATATACTGGAGCAGATGCTGCTCACGGTAAAGCAAACTTGAAACGTATTAAAACGGAGAGTGGTGTATGGATTCCTGCATCATACAAAACAGACAAGTGAGTTATTGCTGCATCAATTTAGTTTTCTTTCTCATCGAAGTTATTCTATACTACTCTAAATTATAATTGTGCTTAGGTATTTTCCCATATTATTGAGTCATATATGTATCATTTCGACTACCTGAGATAGCCGTGTTTTAGCAGACTGGCATTTATGCTGGGTGATGAAGGTGAGATGAAAGTCTGAACCGCGACCGGATTCGAACCAGAGACCACCGGGTTTCTGGTTCGATGCTCTAACAACTGATCTACGAGGTCCGACTGCTGACCAGATTTTTATTTCACTTCAATCACCATAGGTTTTTCCGACTACCATGTGAATTCGTGGCGTGTTACTACCGCTTGATCATATTCACACTGGCTGCTCAATCAGGACTTCGCATCCCCATCGTAATCTAACTGAATTAGAATAAGAGAGGGAACATCATATCGATTATCATTTTCGACTATCTAAAATGGCCGACTAGTATTTATACTGGATGACGATTGAAGGTGAAGTGGAAATCTGGACCGCGGTTGATAGAGCATAGGGCCAGAAACCTGGTGGTCGCTGGTTCGAGTCCGGCCGCGGTCCAAATTTTATTTCACCTTCAATCATCACCCTATATATATTCTGATCGATGTATGGACATAACTTGCACACTGCAGTGGAATTTAATTCTATATTGGAGTAGTTTGTTTTTCATGTGGTACACAGTGACACAGTATTATTTACTCGATGACGTCTTGGTCGCAACCATAAGCGTTGAGTAAATTATTACATCAAAACCAACCAGTTAAATATGTATTTTTAGTCTTCAGTAAGTTCTAAAGCATTTTAAGGAGCTTTGCATTAAATTCTGCATTCTTAATTTGAGCCAACTGGTGGATTCATTTCGTCGTTGGGACATTCACAGGCTTTTTTCCCACATAACCTTGACGTACCGTGTCAGGGAAAGTTGGATTATATTGAAAAGGTTTCAGGGTCTCGAAATCAGGACGTGATATCAGTCCGTTAAGTCTATGACTGTTGGTCTTAGCTGTGTTGGGGGATGTAGCCTTCCTGGCTGAGGTTCCCGTGGTGATAGAATCCACCGGTTGACATAGGCGGAAATCAGTCATAATGGTGCAGATGTATTCACTCCTTGACATCTAAAGGTTAAATATTTGTACTTATCTTAATTTTCAGATTGTGTATTCTCTTACACAACTTTGTCTACTTCGATATCACTTTTTCCATCCACGTGTTCCTTGTATACTACTGTGAAGTGAGGCAACTTGAGCCGATGCACTTGTTTGCGAGGTTCTACATTAGTTATGTCTTTTAAATAACCTGCTCTATTCATCGAAGAGCACCGTATCCAAGTTATAGAGAACTATCCTCCCTGAATTTGTTTAACCTTTCTTGTGTCTGCTATAATAACAGTATCATACATTATCAGTTTCTGCTGCAATCATTAGTAGTTGAATCCGCATATATTTCTGTGTAAGATGCAGCTTTCTAGTTTATTAGTGGCTCATTGAAAAAAATAATGATAAGGATTTCTAGAGTTCATCAAAGGCTGTCACTGGGAGATTGGTTCCACAGAATTGTTGATTTAACTGTTTGAGAAAATGCATTTACTAAAGCATATCTCATCGTTCATATCTCTTAGCTCTTCACATCTTAATGTCTTGTTAATAACACTTTCTGGGGCTGTGGCTCTTTAAATTTGGGAAGTGGAATTCAAGCGGCTAAGTCAGGATTCTAAACACCCGTCAATTTTGGGTTGATCATTCCGAATCCGTTGCCTCATATAATAGATGTGTCACTTCGCGATGATGGGGAATATTTATAGCTCAGGAGGATGATTTTCATTGCGTTGTGTTTTCTGGACTGGATGATTTAATCGTAAAGCCTTAATTGTTATTGTGAACAACATCATCAGCGCAAACTTAAGAAAGAGGTGAGCTACAGAGTTTTCTTCCCATTAGTGGCTTAGTAGTTTATCTGAACAAATCCCATTCAAAAGTTTGACTCTCATATTACCAAGATCTTAAACAAACTTCCAAAGCCGAAAAAATTGCAAAACAAGAACAGTGACGAATGTTCCACATTTCTGTGGTAGACCAAAATTACACAAAGCAAACATCCCATTACAACCAACTGTTTCACTTCCCGGAACCTTAGCATACAATCTTTCAACAGAACTCTTCAGAAAACTGTAGCATCTGGTGATTCGGAGAAATTGAAAACTGAAGTATACAGAAAATCAACTCATGTAGATTCAATCCTCAACTACAGTGGCAACAACCCAACAGCACACAGAATCAGTTGTATAAAAACATTATTCAAAAGATTGGAGACACACTTTAGTACATTACATTTATGGAGAAAAAAAAACTATTTGATAACCGTTTTGCAGAAGAATGGCTATCAACGCAACTTCATGAAAAGATGAAATCTGATATAGTTTGTATTTGTGTAAGTCACAGTGTGTTTGAAATGTAATAAATCCAGTGTTTCGTATGGAGGCCTGGTCCAAGATTCTTCTTTTTATTATTTCCCTGAAGGAGCTCGGACCAGACTTCCATGCGGAACGTTGGGATTGTCTCGTTTCAAACACGCTGTGAATAATTACACAAATAGAACTATATCTAATGTCAACCTTATACTCAGCGCCCAATATTTGCGATACTGTTCGGTCAAATCTTAATCTTGGCTCATATAATTTCATCAAAAAATGTTAACATAATTCGCCGTCAACCAAAAAGTCATCCTCGGAAATCAACAAACGGATTGTCCTACCTTTCACAGAGAACGTCTCCGAGATCACAACTAGATTATTGAAGCCTTTTGGAATCGCTGTATCTCACGAACGTGCAAAACCTCTTCACGCTATGTCATGTAGTCCAAAAGATACAATAGCAAAGGAAGGCAAACCAAACATTATCGACAAAATGAACTTCAGAACTTGCAGAAAAAACTATATCAGACAGAGTGGTCCTCTTCTTCATATCCGTCTACATAAACATCATCTAGCTTTGAAGTGTTATGATATATTCGCCCCTACCAATGCGTACGGGCAACCGTGTGCATGAATTCGACTGGGAAAGTTTTGAAATCCTGGATAAAGGAAATACAAAGAATGCGAGAGAATTTTTAGAAACTTAGTATTCATGTCAGTCAGCGATCAACAGATGTATTGAGATTGACTCAATCTATCAACCAATAAGAAGCACCAAAAAGATCAAAGTTTACGTCACTAGGACAATCAGTCGAAATAAATAGAGGTAATGATAAGACTTTGGAAGAAACAGTCCATCACATTAAGATAAGCTACTACAAAGTTCATCTCTTCAATCCACGGTAGACATGATCATTTAACAAATTTTCCTCATTGAATTATTAAAAGTTGTAATCGATGTATTCTCACGTTTTCGCTTTCAATTGGTATATTCTGGTACATATAAGTTAGTGTTTTAGAAAAATTGTCCTAACACCCTTTAATGGTAAATGTGGAGAAAAATACTAGTCAACTTAACCCGAATGAAGAATTTTCAAAGGGGATTTTAAAGGCCATGATTGGTTACGGGTAGAGATGACAACTTTTCGTATCATATATTGTGCATTCATAAATAAACTATCTCTCACTTAGTAGGGATTAAATTTCTGCGCATTATCTATATGCTGAGAAACATTATTTATTATAATTTCATTCAACCTTTAATTCCCCATTTTCTTTCTTCTTTCAAGGTATGAACAATGGCTTAAACAGTCTAAAACGGATATAATAGCAGCAGTTAAATCAACAGAAGAAATTTCTCCTGCACTGGAAACTCGCACCAAACTTAAAAAATATGGTGATGTGATTGAATTCTCCGATACAGATGAAACTGATAAAAAATCTAATCACTTTCGTAAATCAGGAGCAAGAACGAATAATCAGAAAAACAAGAATTTTTCAGATCCTTTGACACCCAAATTTACAGTCATTGGACCACACAAGTGGCGTTAGTTTTTTGATTTTATGCTTTCCATTGTATATGTATTCATAAATAGTGAGTAATCGCCATTGTGTTAATTTCGACCAGTGATTTCGACAATCATTCTACCACTGAACAGCTTGCGTAGTTAGAAACCAAACAAGCTGATCTGTAAATTTTGTCAGCCAGACCAGAGTGATCTAATCACCTGGTGACCGTTTCACCCGTCCGAGGTCGAGGTTATCAGCTGTGTACCCGGACGAATTTGGCTCATAGAGCTGAATTAGTTGAGATCATCTGAATTCGACTAGCTGACTTGCATGAATCGATATGCCTAAAATAATACAACCAATTTTGTGATTTTGACTTTGTGGTTTCCAACGAAAGCAAACCACTCAACTATGAGAAAGGTTAACAGGGACCGTGCAATTTTTTGAATCGCTCGTAAATTGATCATCCAACTTCGAGAGTTACTTTTCATCTTTTGGTTAAACATTATCGACATACATTTTTGCAATTGGTGTTTTGGGACTGTTCTACACCTACTTCTATTTTAAGGATTAGGAGCAAAGTGGTGTGATATGTTGACCACTTCACTTACTTTGGGAGTTGCGTCAGCTCGAATGGTGTGGTTACTAACGAGATTTCAACTGGGACGCAGAAGGACCGTTTGGCATCAACTTAGGTCATCTGTAGAGCCGGCGAGATATCCAGCTACCTATAACAGGACGAATTTACTACACTGCAGTCCATACGGTCGTGAGACATGGCCGTTAAAATTGTGGGACACGAAGCTCTCACAGGGTTTTGATCATAGGTGTCTTCGTAACATTGTTCGCGTTTGGTCGAATATCACCGTGTGAGCAGTGTTGAGGTCAGGCGAAGAATACTAAGCAAGGCAGGTAAGTCGATTGATGAGGTTGTGAACCTTCACCGACTGAGATGGCTTGGACATGTGTTGTCTGTGTCAAACCACCGTGTACCTCAACGTGCAATGCTAGGGGAAGTTGGATTGGTTTGGAACAGAGTTCAGGGTGGCCAGACCAGTCGATGAAGTTCTTGACTGTTAGTCTGAGGCGTGTGGCGAGATGTAGACTTCCTGATTGGAGTCCCTGAGAGGAAAAGAATCAGTGGTTGGGGACTCTTGGTGACATTGCTGAAAATTGGCCACGATGGCGCAGATTTATTCACTCCTTGACATCTAAATCTTGAATATATTTGCAATAACCTTTATCTTCAAATTGTTTATTCTCTGGCAAAACTTTGTCTATTTTGATACCACTCCTTTTTTATCCACATGTTCTTTGTATATGACTGTGAAGTATGGCAACGTGAGCCGATGCACCTATGTGCAAGGTTCTATGTTGATTTTGACCTGTTAGTTTAAATCCATATTCTGTCAAGCATTAGCGCGTAGGCTTAGATCCATTCCTTCAATTGTCTGTATGATTGTGAAACGTGACATCTAAAAGTAAAAGACATGAGAAGGCTTCTGGTGTTTAACTACCATTGCCTTCGTAGCACGGGTCATGTATCATGGTGTCAGCATGTAAAGCAAAAGTCAGGTGTAGAGTTTTTAGAAAGTATAGGAAGTCAATTGATAATGTCGTGAACCTTCATTGACTCAGATGGCTGGGACATGTGTTACGCTTATCTAGTCGTGCAATGTTGGCTGAAGTAGGTTCAGGCTGCGAAAAGGCTCAGTGTGACCAGACTAAGAAATAGCATTGCTGGGTGAAACCCTTGACTGTTGGTTCAAATTATTTAGGGAGATCCAGACTAACCAGTTGGGGACCAAGTGACAACAAAAGCCAGTGGTTAGAGACTAGGTGATATGGCTTAGAATCGATGTGGGTGGTGCAATCTTCATCTAAACCACTGTTCTGAATTCAGCATTTTTTTTCAATCTTCCTTCCTTTCTTTTATTCTTTTCTACCGCTTTTGACCGATTTCTCTCTCTTTCTTCATCTCTCATCTTACTACTGTGTTACTTGTTGTGCTGATATGAAGTGTGGCAACTTGTACCGTTACACAGTAATGTCTGTTGTTATGTAGATATTGACTGATTGATTTAAGCTAACAACCGATAAGTGTACTAATAATTGTCGCACTGATAAGTACTGCCTTATAACTCCTGCACATAGGTGTGTGTTATAAACTGTAAGTCGTACTTGATGTGTGAAGATGTAAGAATATACTCTGTTCTTCTAGCTAAAGTAAGTAAAGAGGGTTTAAAGCCAATAAACCATAGTTGCACAACGTAGCATATGAACTTGCCATCATATAGTGATTTGGGATTTTTTTTTCTCTTCATACTATTTGGTATTTTGTTTTATTGATACTTTTGTTTCAATCTGATGGGTATGATTATTACTGTTCTCAGGTTACGTCGACTCTTTTCAAGTAGTAATCTGAAAGCAATATGTAAAAAATGTATCATTTGCATGCAATTAGAAATCATTACTTGATTTCCTTTTTAATTCTTCTTATATTAATATAGATGAGCGAGCAGTTGCCCGTCAAAAAGAACGTTCACAGAATGCTATAGAAAAACAAAAGATACGTCAGCCGAAAGGATCTCGAACATTTGGTCAACTTAGACGACCTGAACAAATATTAAAACAGCGTAAACTACGTGAGAAACAAAAGCAGCGTACTCAGAAAAATAAGAATGCCCATTCCCACAAAAAGCGTAAACACTAAAAGCATTCAAGCATATTCAACGTGTACAGTATATGTGATCTATTTCAGCAATATATAACTACTCACTGTTGACACTTTCATCTTTAAATTCATTGATCTCAGGCAAATCGTTTATACTGGGTAATGATTGAAAGTGGAATGAAAATTTGGACCGTGACCCGATTCGAACGATGCTCTACCAACTGAACGACGAGGTCCGGCTGCTGACCAGATTTTTATTTCACTTCAGTCACCATAGGTTTTGCGCGACTACCATATGAATTCATAGCGTGTTACTACCACTCGATCGTCACCTTGGTCATCACATTTGTGACTGGGATCGGGGCTTGCAACTATTTCCCGTGAACGAGGAATTCCTGGTAAGTGTAAGTCATAAGCTTGCGCCGATTACGTCCCTACCCTTTGTACACCGCCCATCGCTACTACCGATTGAATAGTTTAGTGTAGTCATTGGGTTGGTGTCATTGAAGAGGCTTGCCGCCCGACTGATGCTGAGAAGATGACCTAATTTGACTGTTTAGAGGAAGTAAAAGTTGTAACAAGGTTTCTGTAGATGAACCTGCGGAGGGGTCACTACCAGATGTATGGAAAGTTTATATATATATATATATATATATATATATATATATATATATATATATAGAAACCAAGCTGAGATGGCCCACTTGTTTACTCATGCGAAATGTATAGGTTTCAGGTCACTTCTCATGCTGATGATATATAAATACTGTGTGCTAAAACATATCGGTAAAATCCTCATATCAAAAAGGAAATTCGAGCAGTATGAATACTCGGGTAGTATCGAGTCATCCGCGTGGAAGTCCATCTACCCACAGAGGTCGAGTAATTCGACCTAGTATAACAACGGGTAATTACAAGTATCAATCAACGATTCAATTTGTACTTTACATATGATGCCAGTCACTACTAAGACGTAGATAGAATGACACCGGTTATTTTTAGGTAAGTGATTAATGAGTGTTTTCGACTAGCTATGTCCTCTTCAGTACCGTTCGTAAGTATGATATGTATTTTGAACCGTTGAAGTAAAAATACCTTCGCATGATTGCCAGGTACCGATGCCTTCACATATCCTTGATGGTGAACCGTTGGAATGTTTTTGTATCTGGGTAATATAACTGATAAGTGGCATACACCAATTTAGGTAGCTTTTGGCAACATCGTGACCTTATCTGTTTGTAAAAGGTGAAGTGTTCCGCTCTGGACTTGTGAAAACTTGTCCCTTTGAGCTAATGATGTCTGACGAATTTTTGTGTTGGATCACCCTTTCCTCCATAATTCTGTTAGCTTCTGATGGAAATTGCATGTAAGTGAGTTTCAGGTACGATGTCCTGAAAAGACTATCCACTGAGTGATGTCATCTTGGAACACCGACTTCGGTGACATAGACACACTACGAATATGGTGCCAGTGGTCCAATGCCGTTCACTTGCCATGAGACTGGCTGAAAGAAGAGAAGTGGTCAACACATGGTGTGGCGCTGTGGAAGTAAATATGGTTTTGTTTAGTTAAGAATGTCGGTGCCTCACGACTCCTTGGATGAAGCTCAAGCAATCGCGTATCTCAGTGGCTTGAGATGATAGGAGTGATGGTGATACTTCAGCACTCCTCATTCTTCTATTATCGAGAAGTAGAATAAATTTGGTGAAAGCTTCGTGAAATGTATCTTTGACACTGCTTCTTTATCAAAGCATTCTTCGCTTCTTTCCTACTTGTTTCTTACCTAAAAGTCACCTTTGTATCTTCTAAAGTTTATTATATTACTTTGGATGGCATATCTTTTTTGTTTCTGCTGTATCAAGTTTTTTTAGATCTATTTAAAAAGCAGAAGTAAACTGGTAGTTTCACATTTGTTATACGCTTACTTATTCCACCAACTAATTTCAAAATGTGGAATCAAATTTTAAGGTGTGATTTTTATACTCTGATGTATTTTTATATTTTCAGGTTTGAAGTAGTCTGAAGCGTGGTTTTTATCGTTTGATAGAAGTATAGTGGAAACAAAAAGCGCTTATTTTTGACATTAGAAACTATCGCAATCCGATAGTACTTCTTAATCAGGGTCAACCAACTCCGTTTAAATATACGGTGTTGTGTAACTACGTTGACCGACATCTGCAACCTCAACATGGCAGTCGCACTTATATATCGCAAGTGATTGCGTCGATTACAAAAATTGTTCATTCAACCAACTTACTTGAATAAAGTTGATAAGATGATGAACTTACTAGTCTATATGATAGTTGAATTTAATACGATGTCGATCACCAGTGGAACAATTATTTCCATCTTATAGGTAACAAGTGCTTCGTAAACATTATTGAACAGCCATGTCGTGTTAATAAGACTTTTCATCTGCAAGGATCCTTTGTAAGTCAGGCAGAAGAAAGAGATTGTCTCAATCGGTGGCTGTCTATATCAGGTCGATCATTGTCACAGATGGATGACATTGCATTTAGTCAACATTGGAGTGGATCTCCGCTCTTTCTGGCGTACTGGCTTGTACGCCGTTTATGTCAGTTAGTGCTTTTTTGAATGTGTAGATACAAGCAAGTGAGCTTTTTCTTACTGGGCCGGAAGCTGAGATCATCAATTCTATATTTAGGAAGAGGATAACCAGGTATTAATGTGGACACAGCAGTCACATGAAACCTAGTATGATATTCAGTCTGCTGTAGAGACAATGAGTAACTTACAGCAAGAGGTTAGTAACACTAATGAATCTCTATAACCACATCTGATTTGATTGATGTTAGAAGACTGATTCTTGCCGACTATGATCACGTTAAGAACACCTTAAACGTGAACTGATTCCAAGCAACTGTAGATAAAGAAAGTAAGCAGCATTGGTGCTTTCTAATAATGTCCTGTTAATTATACTTTATAAAAGGATTGTGATCCGAAAAGGGGATGATTTGTGAAACTAACACCTAGAAAGTTGAATCTCTGATAAATTCTCAAAAGAGGTAACCAGATGTTGAGTTGAACGCTTTTTGCAGAACAGTTCAACTAACCTACATCTTCACTTGTCAACGACTTAGCTTCAACATGTAATGTAAACACCGATTATCTAACTCTGTTTCAAATTAAACAAAGGAATCTCAGTAAAACTGAGTCTACCTTTCAGAGTACTATACCAGCGTCTGACTGGGAAGTGTCAAGCAAGTATATTATACCAACTGAAACTTTTCACTCGAACTGATTGAGTTATATTGACTTATGAAAGATTGTCAGCTGATGTCATAACCAGTGATATCTTCCAAGAACATTAACAGTTGTAGTTTTTCTTACTTCATTGATATATGCCAATTTTAAGCTTTGAATTACTGTTTGATGATAGTCTGGTTAGCCTAGCGTAAAAAGATGACATGGCCTTTTTAGGCAAAAATACTAACATAACACAAGGTCTTTTGAATATATCGCGGAGAAATGAATAAACTTGGCACTATTTTGACACTTGACAAATGTAAGATGAGTTTATGCAGCTTGTCAACACCAAATTACGTCTCAAGGATATGAAGCGGGCAAAGGTGACTTTCAGTGGCACGGTTTAAAATTCCTGTCAGTGGTGGAAACTGTTTGAATGGATGAATACGAAGAATTAAAAAGTTTAGAATATATTTTAACGCCATCATATGAGTTTAGAGACAGTCTGAGTGTTAATAGCAGCCTTTAGTGCCAAGTGGCTCCCGAGGCAACTAAAATGTATCCCTTCCATGAACTCGAACAGCACAGAAAGAACGCCATTACAGGCTGAGATGAAATCATTTTATTCCACAGGACTTTCTTCAGCTGAATACAGCCTAGTTAAGTTTGAGAAGTGTACGAACTGTAACACCCTTTATCTGAAGTGTTTTTTTAGGCACCGGTTAATGGCTTGAAAATCAGCAGAAGCATTTCAATTCACTCCGTAAAATAGGCCTAAATAATGAAATTCAGGCACGTTATTAAGAGGTTGACAAACAACCAATGTAGAACCTTGAACACAGGTGCATCGACTCAAGATGCCACATTTCACAGTAGCAATGAGGTTGTGGATAGAAAAAAGACTGATATCAAAGTAGACAGAGGTGTATGAGTTGAGAATGAATTTATGAATGAAGGTTGGTATAAACAGTTAACATTTAGAAGACGTAAAAAAGTGATACATCTGCGCCATTAAGAAAGAGTTCCAGCCACGTCACTGCTCCCTAGTGCCTCTCAGGCAGTCTACATGTCGCCTGATGGCACAGACAATATGGCCTGGTGCCACATCTTGGTCTGGCCACCCTGAGCTTTCTTCTAACATTTCCTAGCACTGGACCTCATGGTGATCAGTTGCTCGGCATGCGTATCATATGTCCAAGCCATCTCAAGCGAAGAGGGTTTACATCCTCATCAAGCGACTTCCATTTGGATGCATGCGATAATTTCATGAAACCACATCTTTGTTCACGAGTACATCCTTTCTTAATATAGTAGACATATACAACAGACATCTTGTTACCAAAAACGTATTCTCTTCATGCATAACAAAGAGGCTTGGAAGATTCAACGTAGTATACGCAGTGACGAGATTTACATATGAGGAGAGTCAGAAGGCAATATAGCCCTTCTTGATGTTCTTCTTTCTAGACGAAGGGACGAGGAAGCTGTTTCAGAAAATATGTGGATAGGACGATGCACATTTCTTAGCTTCGTCTTACTTCAGTATAAACGAAACTTGATAAAGTTACAGAATAGAAGCTATATGTTCGGAAGAAAACACTGGAGAGGAATGGATTACTTTACGCAACAATTAGTCGAAAATGGTTTTCCTGAGAAATCCATAAAGAAACACCATTGCAAAATAGCCAGGAAAAACCTTCCAACGGTTAGCAGAAAGCCTCTATGCATTTGAATACAATTTAAAGGGGATTTGCCTAGCAAGATATTAGTTCCCTAACTACGCATATCAATTCAAATAACTTTCAATACTAGTAAATTACGTGACCCATATACCCAGTGTGAAAGGGAGTTTAAAAGATGAAATACCTTGACTTGCCACTTCCTACTGTGCTTATCAGTTCTACTAGTGCTATTTACATCAGCCACCGCTCTAGGTATTTAGTTTCCTGTGCTCGCGAACACCTAACGTAGCTAAGCAAAAGTGTTATAAAGACCATTAGTAACTCAATATTAGCACACTTAGTCCAGAAAAAGCATTCGGTAGATATTGATAATCATTTTCCATTATTTATCATGTTCTCATCAACATCCTAAGATATGCCAAACTTAAAGTTTTTCAGACTGCAAAAGCGGAAACAATCAGGACTAAATAATCCGAGTTGTGTCCAGAAAAAGCAGATGTTGCCGCCACAGCTACCTTGGTCTAATTCAAGATTACAATTCCTAAACATCCTACCCCATTTAACCTAACCTTTCATCCATGTAGTCTGAATTAATTTCACCAGGTTCTGAGATGATGGAGAATATTTGTAGTTCAGGAGGATGATGTGTTATCTGAGCTATCATTCTAGACAACATCAGTAGTACAAACTCAGAAAGAAGTAAGCTGTAGGGTTTTCTCCACAAGTGGCTTAGTAGCTTGTCCTGATGGTCGTGTCTGATTGATTGTTTCTGCAGAGGTCTTGTCAGTATCTCCATATATATTTTGATTGGTTGTCCTATTGACATGAAGTTCGACCTTCTTGCTGCTTCTTATTGGTTGATAGATTGGGCCAATGTGTCTGTTGATCACTGACTGACCTCAGTACAAAGCTTCTCTGGCAGAGAATTCCATCGAATCAATGATTTGAAACTAAATTCCAGTAATAGTTGGTTCCGATACCACCTGCCACATAAGACTTTTTCGAGATAATTTCCAAACAGTTATTATTATTAACGAACTGTTATATAAGAAACCTCACTGCTATTAGCACAAAACTACACAGTACGGGTATATAACTGTAGAACCTGAAGAATTTACTGAAAAGAATATTCTTTGCTAACAATGGTGGATAATGGTTAGCAGTGGAATCCAGGGCATGCGTTTCATTCGACTTGGTACTCACTCAGCTGGATGTTCTACCTCCAAGTGGGTGACGTTGATCTTACTAAGATTTTAACTCGGGACTGATCGCTTCAAACGCCGACACTCCCAGTGCGGTGGGTATCGGTTTGATGTTACTACTTGTAATTTACGCGGTTGGTTGAACCGGGTCAGTCGGGCTCTCTTAGCAAATGGGTTACTGTGCAGATACCTCGACATAGCCTCTATTTTTTCAGTTAGGTAGTAATGACGAGAAGTTGCAAGCACCAACATTGTTTGTCTATTCAAATGTCTTTTGAATTACAATGGTAATTTTTAACGAGCTGAAATCCATGGAACCTTCACTTTGGAAGTTATTTACCTTTTATATTCGTCTTTCTGGATGAACCGCATTAGCATTACGTTGGATCTGTGAGAATCATATGCAGCATCTCTACTAAAAGCAGGCTGTCAGTCCACTGATTACATCCTCACAATATTCTTGTTGATAGATTTTAGGTTTTTTGCTTAAATTATTTAACTTCCAACATTATTTCTGTGAATTTCTAGGCTTCATTAAAGGACAAAGTCATTTTCAAGTTACACCTAAGTCTGTACTGGGTGATGATTGAAGGTGAAGGGAAAATTTGGGCAGCGGTAGCACTTGAACCAGCGACCGCATAAGTTGTAGTTGTGAAGTCAAAACATAACCTAGCATAACTTTATATAAACCTTATTTCTGACGTTTCAAGAACGCAAGACAAATATTTCCTGTCATCTACAAATAATTGCTGTGGTAAGAAATTGCATTGAAGGCTTATCATGAAATTGGAAATGCAACTAGCCAAGAAACACTGGATGTAATTCTCATTCTGCAAGATACGTTTCTCGATCCATACACATCGAGTTTCATGTTTACTTACGACGGGGTAATTACTGCAGTGCGCCTAACAAGTAAACACATCGTTTTTGCGCTCTACCCAACACACTACAACGCCATACAGAATATAAATTCATTTATACGATGATCAGTCGACCAAAAAAGCAACAAGGGAAACAAACCAATCAAGTGTTTTTATTTCATTTGAAAGGGCTATCACAGTCAAGAGAAAAATATATCACATTATTAAAAACACAAAATAAAAAAACAGCCAGCATTTCAGACTTGTTCTTTTTTAAAATAATAGTCTGAGAATTCTTTCAGTTGTAAATAAATAGGTGGATATTCTCTTTGCTGCCTCAGTTGAACCTAATGAACGAAGAATAATGACAATGATCTTTAAATAATATGAATTGTGATCAACATTTAACCGAATAGTAACAGCAAATATTGGGAGCTCAATAAAATGTTGAGAGTAGGCATATTTTTTTTATTTGTATAAATCACAGCGTCTATAAACTAATCCCAACGTTATTTCGCACGGAAGTCTGGTTGGTCGTAGCCTCTTCAAAGAAATAATCTAAGAAGTTCGGATCAAACTTCCGTGCGAAACGTATTTATTTTATTTTAAACACGCGAACACAAACTAGAACTAATATCAGATGGATAGGATGTGGCCTAAGATGGAAATCAACATTTTAAGTCATCGCCTATTAGGGTAGATGTGTTTCAGATTTTGATTTATGCCTATATTAGGATGAAACAACCTGGTTGGTTGATTCGGCAGCCAATAAGGTTGTGTCATTCTACCTTTGGCCTAGGATATTTTTGTGTGGGAATTCTACATATGTGCAATAGTTTCTTAAATCAAGTTGTCGTACTTACTTACAGTCGTAGGTCATTCTTGTTTTTTTTATATTTGCGTGACTAAGTTAAGAATAAGATGGTGAGGGGGAATAGTCATATTGACATTCAGTTCTAGCGTATTACTGTGTTCACTTTCACCATTTTACTTACGTCTTATTTTACTCGGTCACTTCATTTTGCAATGTCTACTTCACTGGATGATCTCAAATCTATTTGGCAACTTTAACAAGCTCAGTATGAAGCAGCTCAACTGAAGCTTATTGAAACTCTAACTCAGAAGTTGTCCATTCAATCGCCATTCTTATGCTTTGATGATACTGTCAATAATCTATCTAAAATTCTTGGTGAACAATCCGCTACTTAATATTTGATATAAATGCTTTCAGTTATCTAAGTTACCTACTGATGATTGTCATGAGTTTGAAAAGCAACTGAGTGTAAAATACAGTATACTGATAAAGTGTAATTTCCCAATAATTTGCCCATCAAATCAGTAACATTTTTAAAGATACTAACACCGTAAAAAGGATTAATGAATAAACACTTGAAACATAGTTATCTTCATAAATTTCGACAAAACAAATGTAATTTGTGCAACACATTTCCAACAACTTGGTCACACATTCACTTGTCATAGGTGTTTATATGAAACGTTATAAAGAAATAAGGTGTGAGAACACCAAAAGAGGTCAAGTAGGAAAGTTAAATTCAATGTAAAAATAACAATGAAGTGCAATGGTGACCTAGAGTACTTGTGCACATTCGTGCAGTAGGCAACGAGCCACATCTATTGTGTGAGGACTAGCGATACTACCTGACTGCCTGAACCTCGGTAGATGGAACGGGGCTGGAACCCGTGACCCAGTGGTTGGTAGTCATCTTTCTAAACCACTGAACCACAGCTCCACATGCAATGGATCGAAAATGAGAATATACCGATTTTGATTTTAGAGTTAAATTCACTAGGAAAGGTTGAATATGATTTTTTAAAAATTGTTTCTGAACACATAAAGGCAGAGCTTAAACTTCTTCATAGCCAATGTCTCAACAAATTTCAGGAACCGCCTCCAACACATTTTGTAAATAGGTCTAAAACATGTAGAAGCTCCAAATCTGTATCCTGTCCATGATATATTTCGCAAACGAAAAGTTTGGAAGTCTGCCATCAACTATTTACTTGTTCAGATGATTCAGTTCCCTTTAAAGCCACTTTAGAATATGCTTCAAGGCGACTACTCGAATGCATCCAAGTTCTGTCTATGTATGTGTCACCACACATGTGCACTTAAATTGGTAGATACAACGAGATGAAACATTATCATTCACAAGCTGTAAGCGACTAGGAGAGTGTACAAACTTTGTGGTTTCTATTAACTTGACACTTTAGTTGCACAGTACATCTTTCTAATAACAGTATTAAGCTTCGAATTAAGGATCGTATTATGAAAGTCACTTTGGTTAATTTCTAACAACACATTCTTTTATATGAAAGTGTTTAAAATTTCAGCACGAATGGACAATTAAACAGAATTAAAGAGAAAAACACTTATCCTACGCATCTCCTGAAAGACACTGGCTATCAATATAGAGAAGTCGTTGAGATAATTTTTACTACTGGTAACAGCTCAATGTGATCTCAACTTGCGCATAAAAATAATCGAGTGAGTATTACTATCATCAAGGCTAGATGACTTAATCACATTACTTACTTCATGAAGAAGTAAGTATTAGATATAGAAAAGCTGGTTGGATAGAAAACCAATTAACCTGAGCTTCATGAATAAATTTTGTGAATAACTGGATACAATTTGTTTATTTCTTACAACCACTGATCAGCTTGTAAGATTTGTTTGTCATTTCATTCCTTTTACCATATGCATGAGTGTGACCTAGATAAACATAATATTCAATAACGGACGTCAACACCGGTCGGTATGTTTGTTGTATATGACTTTTGCATAGCCGTTGCAAATGGTACATCACAAACATCTAAAGTTAATAACGGATACCTGCTGCATACGAGTTGGTTCTCATGTCCGAGTATCCTAGTAGGAAACGCTCTGTTGTTTGAAGCGATAGGTACTGGGTTTGAGCCACAGTAGAAACAACAGTACTCACTGGATGCAGATACATCCAGCTGATGAGTTCCAAATAGGATGATATGCGTGTTCGGGATGCCACTGTTAGCCATCAAGATGAATATAAGCCATGAGTATTGTAATTACAGCTACTATCGGATTCTAGGTTGTCAGCGTTCCTCATCCATGAGGATTTAGACACCTACCCACATACCACATAAATCATACAATCACGAGGAAGGCAGATGGGAAACTTGGCTAATTATTTGTACCGATTTCTAGAGTTAATTTGCCCAGAATTCAATCTGCACTTTTATTTTTTAATCATTTCTACAAGCGTTGTAAAGACCCGGTGATTACTGTTTGCTGCTATTTCACCGAGAACTGTTAGTTAGTCAGTTGTTAACTATGCTCATCACTTTATAACCTAACTAGCTTTTTTGTATATTTGCAACTTATTGTGTGGTGCGGACGGAATGTTATACAGCTGCACAAACGCATTCGACGTAAATCAAAAAGAAGGGAAAGAAAATTGCTAGTGAAAGGTATGCGTCGTGTGACCCATGTATGCATAAGAAAACAAGCGAGTGGAGCAATTTTCAGACAGCAAAGTGAACACAGAGTCATGATCACGTGACAGGGTTATGCTTAAATGACTTCATAGGACACCTTAGCAACCAATGAAGTAACCAATTAGATTTTTCCATTTCGCCTGGAAAGGTACATTTTCCATAGAATAGAGACATTTAATTGGTCATATTAATAGTTGTTAGAATGGCCTTTAAAGTCACAAAACCAATTATCTTTCTCTATGAAAAGTTATCTTTCTGGCCAGAATACCGAATTAAGGATCGTATTATGAAAGTCACTTTGGTTAATTTCTAACAACACATTCTTTTATATGAAAGTGTTTAAAATTTCAGCACGAATGGACAATTAAACAGAATTAAAGAGAAAAACACTTATCCTACGCATCTCCTGAAAGACACTGGCTATCAATATAGAGAAGTCGTTGAGATAATTTTTACTACTGGTAACAGCTCAATGTGATCTCAACTTGCGCATAAAAATAATCGAGTGAGTATTACTATCATCAAGGCTAGATGACTTAATCACATTACTTACTTCATGAAGAAGTAAGTATTAGATATAGAAAAGCTGGTTGGATAGAAAACCAATTAACCTGAGCTTCATGAATAAATTTTGTGAATAACTGGATACAATTTGTTTATTTCTTACAACCACTGATCAGCTTGTAAGATTTGTTTGTCATTTCATTCCTTTTACCATATGCATGAGTGTGACCTAGATAAACATAATATTCAATAACGGACGTCAACACCGGTCGGTATGTTTGTTGTATATGACTTTTGCATAGCCGTTGCAAATGGTACATCACAAACATCTAAAGTTAATAACGGATACCTGCTGCATACGAGTTGGTTCTCATGTCCGAGTATCCTAGTAGGAAACGCTCTGTTGTTTGAAGCGATAGGTACTGGGTTTGAGCCACAGTAGAAACAACAGTACTCACTGGGATGCAGATACATCCAGCTGATGAGTTCCAAATAGGATGATATGCGTGTTCGGGATGCCACTGTTAGCCATCAAGATGAATATAAGCCATGAGTATTGTAATTACAGCTACTATCGGATTCTAGGTTGTCAGCGTTCCTCATCCATGAGGATTTAGACACCTACCCACATACCACATAAATCATACAATCACGAGGAAGGCAGATGGGAAACTTGGCTAATTATTTGTACCGATTTCTAGAGTTAATTTGCCCAGAATTCAATCTGCACTTTTATTTTTTAATCATTTCTACAAGCGTTGTAAAGACCCGGTGATTACTGTTTGCTGCTATTTCACCGAGAACTGTTAGTTAGTCAGTTGTTAACTATGCTCATCACTTTATAACCTAACTAGCTTTTTTGTATATTTGCAACTTATTGTGTGGTGCGGACGGAATGTTATACAGCTGCACAAACGCATTCGACGTAAATCAAAAAGAAGGGAAAGAAAATTGCTAGTGAAAGGTATGCGTCGTGTGACCCATGTATGCATAAGAAAACAAGCGAGTGGAGCAATTTTCAGACAGCAAAGTGAACACAGAGTCATGATCACGTGACAGGGTTATGCTTAAATGACTTCATAGGACACCTTAGCAACCAATGAAGTAACCAATTAGATTTTTCCATTTCGCCTGGAAAGGTACATTTTCCATAGAATAGAGACATTTAATTGGTCATATTAATAGTTGTTAGAATGGCCTTTAAAGTCACAAAACCAATTATCTTTCTCTATGAAAAGTTATCTTTCTGGCCAGAATACCGAATTAAGGATCGTATTATGAAAGTCACTTTGGTTAATTTCTAACAACACATTCTTTTATATGAAAGTGTTTAAAATTTCAGCACGAATGGACAATTAAACAGAATTAAAGAGAAAAACACTTATCCTACGCATCTCCTGAAAGACACTGGCTATCAATATAGAGAAGTCGTTGAGATAATTTTTACTACTGGTAACAGCTCAATGTGATCTCAACTTGCGCATAAAAATAATCGAGTGAGTATTACTATCATCAAGGCTAGATGACTTAATCACATTACTTACTTCATGAAGAAGTAAGTATTAGATATAGAAAAGCTGGTTGGATAGAAAACCAATTAACCTGAGCTTCATGAATAAATTTTGTGAATAACTGGATACAATTTGTTTATTTCTTACAACCACTGATCAGCTTGTAAGATTTGTTTGTCATTTCATTCCTTTTACCATATGCATGAGTGTGACCTAGATAAACATAATATTCAATAACGGACGTCAACACCGGTCGGTATGTTTGTTGTATATGACTTTTGCATAGCCGTTGCAAATGGTACATCACAAACATCTAAAGTTAATAACGGATACCTGCTGCATACGAGTTGGTTCTCATGTCCGAGTATCCTAGTAGGAAACGCTCTGTTGTTTGAAGCGATAGGTACTGGGTTTGAGCCACAGTAGAAACAACAGTACTCACTGGATGCAGATACATCCAGCTGATGAGTTCCAAATAGGATGATATGCGTGTTCGGGATGCCACTGTTAGCCATCAAGATGAATATAAGCCATGAGTATTGTAATTACAGCTACTATCGGATTCTAGGTTGTCAGCGTTCCTCATCATGAGGATTTAGACACCTACCCACATACCACATAAATCATACAATCACGAGGAAGGCAGATGGGAAACTTGGCTAATTATTTGTACCGATTTCTAGAGTTAATTTGCCCAGAATTCAATCTGCACTTTTATTTTTTAATCATTTCTACAAGCGTTGTAAAGACCCGGTGATTACTGTTTGCTGCTATTTCACCGAGAACTGTTAGTTAGTCAGTTGTTAACTATGCTCATCACTTTATAACCTAACTAGCTTTTTTGTATATTTGCAACTTATTGTGTGGTGCGGACGGAATGTTATACAGCTGCACAAACGCATTCGACGTAAATCAAAAAGAAGGGAAAGAAAATTGCTAGTGAAAGGTATGCGTCGTGTGACCCATGTATGCATAAGAAAAAAGCGAGTGGAGCAATTTTCAGACAGCAAAGTGAACACAGAGTCATGATCACGTGACAGGGTTATGCTTAAATGACTTCATAGGACACCTTAGCAACCAATGAAGTAACCAATTAGATTTTTCCATTTCGCCTGGAAAGGTACATTTTCCATAGAATAGAGACATTTAATTGGTCATATTAATAGTTGTTAGAATGGCCTTTAAAGTCACAAAACCAATTATCTTTCTCTATGAAAAGTTATCTTTCTGGTCAGAATACCGAAACCTGATAGGCTACTTCAGCAGTTTCTAGACTGCCATAAACAACCACTATTATGAATTACAGAGTAGCCCATTCGAGCACATGATATGATGCCAGCGCAGTTGATTTGCAGTTATGACAACGTTTAAACTACATTTAGATGATTCAAGGATTCAATATCGATTTATTAAATTTCACTTGGAACTGTATCACCAATCAATGGCGTCTAAATGTCAAAAGCTTACCTCGTGTACATACGCTGACAGGCTGTTATGCAGTAGAGCCAAACGTTCCGTATCGTTTTTCCTTTTCAACAGCCAAGAAACATAGTAATTAACAGACCAACCAGCAGTAACATGAGGTAAACGAATTTCCTCTGGTGCCCGGCTAAATATATGTTGGTAGACAAGACTTGGTGGCAGTTGACTTGATGAAGAGTCGATTGTATCATCACTAGAAGCATACATCTAGGAGAAAAATGTAAGGATTAAATGATATATACAGTCTCATTTTATTTCCAACATTCCTCGGTGACAATCATACGATAAAAAAGTGAGTAACAGTAAACCAGTTACTGTAAACCAAAGATAAGATGTAGGGTGCGCAAAATCAACGAAGTCAGGTTGGTGTACAATACTACGATTACTGCAATAGTTTGGAAGGGCTTCAAATCCTTTACTTGGCAAGACAATCAAAAGCAGTGTGGATAAAATTATGATTATTGTGAGAACACAAACATGGTACAGGGGCAAGGGGCACAAAGAAATGTGTCACACAAAACGATATAACAACAATATGAAGACATAGGCAATGGGAAGTGGATAAGAAAAAAACAATAAGAACAGCATGATTAGAAGCGCAGCCCAGTAAGGTACATTGAGTGGTGATTTGAAAATATTTGGGAGGCGTTTCTCATCACCCAAATTGGTCTTCAACGGTGCCACGGCTAACAACAGAGATTGTAGTGATTGAGTGTGCCGACCACTTCACTTACCTGGGAAGCAGGATCAGTCCTACCCTGGTGGCTCAGTGGCCGATGAAATTTCTGCACGTATATAAAAGGTTCGACTGGCTTTTGCCAACTCACACCACCTGTGGCGCCACCGTGATGTCCAATTGTCTATTAAGGGTCGCGTGTACTGCACAACAGTCCGCTCTATTCTGCTGTATGGCTGTGAAACATGGCCATTGAAGGTGGAAGACATGAGAAAGCTGGCTTCAAGTGTTTGACCACTGTCGCCTTCGTAGTATAGGCAGCCGTATTCCGTGGTGTCACTACATGAGTAACGCAGAAGTCAGGTGTCGAGTTTTAGAGAGAAGAGGTAAGTTAGTTGACGAGGTTGTGAACCTTCATCGACTGAGATGGCTGGTTGGGACGCGTGTTACGTATGCCTAGTCGCCGACTGCCTCATCAGACAATGCTGGGAGAAGTAGGTTCTGGCTAGAAAAAGGCTCACAGGGGTGGCCAGACTAAAACATGGCATCAATGTATGAAGTCTTTGACTATTGGTTTGAGCCATGTGGTTGAGGTCCACGGGACAAGAGGAACGAGTGGTTGGAGACTCTAGGCGATATGGCTCAGAATCGATGTGAGTGGCACAGATGTGTCCCCACACACATTATCCTCATCTTAACGATGCTATACCGAATCTCACCATTTTCTCATTCTTCCTCTCTCTGTTTTCGTACTTTATATTTCTTTTGACTGGATTTTCTTTTCTTCATCTTGCACTTCACTGCCTTTTTACTCGGTGTACTGACATGAGGTGTGGCAAGTTGGACCGTTAAGCAGTGATGCCTGGTTCTATGTTGATACTGATGAGCAGAAGATAAAAGGAAGTTACAGCATGACCGCCACTGGTTTCGATTCCGCACTATACCTAATAACATCTCAAGCCACTGAGTTGTGCACTCTCTCGGACCCCACTCAGAGATTCATGACGCAACAACAGGTTCTAACCCGATGCAACTATCCCCTATCCCACGGCGCTATGTCATACACTAACCACCCCTCTGCTTCTTCTATCTAGTTTTAGGGCTAACAAAGAATGAAGGTGTGGAAGCTGTTGAGACGACATGAGTAACATGTTCATGCCCCTAAAGTCGATGTTTCCAGATAATTTCATTTGTCGAACCATGATCTTCATCATACCTAAACACATGCTATCGTACCTTAAGATTACTTATAAGGTGTTGTCACCGGATACCAGCAATCCTACAGAGACAACGATAATTGAACACACAGAGTCGGCGCACATTCGCCGGCTCGGAGAGGACAGGTTTCTTAGGCACAGAACAGAGTTGCTCGCACCGAAGCGTCGGAAACCCGGCCTTTCACGGTCAGACTAACGTTGCGACGGCGCCAAAGGTGGCCCAGATTGGCGTATGCCACTCTTGTTTTTTCAATATGCAGTTGGAAATTTCACTCTTCACACCTCCACCAGCACTCACACAACTACCCAGATACACGAACTTTCCAACTACTGCCAACGACTCAGCACTGAGGGTTAGCACAAGCACAGGCTCCTAACAGTCTTGCAAAAGTACTTTGGAACTTCAGTGGTGTAAAGCATATACCATACTTATGCACACTAATCACCAACTATGTTATCACATAGTACGACGATATCGTCCGCATATTCAAGGTAGGATAGCCGTTCTCTGGGCAGCAGATCTACACCACTATAATGTACTCCTTTAGAGCTGTCTAAAGAATGTCATCAATGGAAAAGTTAAAATGAAATGGAGAAATCAGGCAACCTTAACTAATCACTAATCAACACATCCGGTAGAAAGCTTGGTAATTTCTGTTCCCAACACCTCAAACTCTAATAAAACTTATTTAGAATTTTTAAAAAAGTACTGTACACAAAAGAAACATACCTTAACCAATTTTTCCGTCTCCAAGGTTAAAACAGACGAGAATTCTCGTAAATTTCTATAAGATTCTGGGACCAACTCGCTCAAAGTGTAACCATAGTTAGGGGAACATAATGGCATTAAAGCTAATTCGAATTCTTTACAGTCAACAGATAAATGAAGACGTAATGATTCGTTCGAAGAACGAATTAAGGTTGAACGCCAGAGAAAATTATTGATACACATATCAAGCATCGGTTTCAGAGTATGTTGTAGAGCGAATTCACCACACGTATAACAGCCTGATTTGGCAAATATATTAGGTACTATGCTAACTGATTTAGGAGGTTTTGAAAGGTCACATAAATATTGTTGTCGAATTCGAGCAGTGAAATTCTAAAGTAAAAATAAAATAAATCAGTTTGTACAAGATTTTATTTATACGCTGATGGAAGTTAGGATATATGAAAAAACATCTCCATTCTAACTATCTTAAAATCATCCTAACTCGAATTTTATACTCTGAAATATACAAAGTCTAATAACTATCGTTCACAAGTAATTCAAAAGAAATAAAAGCATTATTTCTCCAAGAAAATTAAAGTGTAGTAAGTTGATCAATCATAAAAATCTTCATCATGAACTGATATCAGCTGGGGAAACATTGGAAACGTGGATACTAACCAAGTGGCTCAATAGTAACGTGCCAGTCGCAAAATCTTAAGGTCCTAGGTTCTCTTTCTGGCAAGGTTATGGGTGTACACTGCTGAGGAATCCCATACTAGGACGAAACAGCTATCCAGTACTCCTAGTTCTACAATGTTTCTCCAAGTGATATCTTTCCATGATGAAAACCAGACTAAAATCAATAAAATCCGCACCAACCTTCAAAATGAATTATAAAAGTATACATTTATAATATAAGCATTTAAGTAAAGCGAACCATAACCATAACACGGGGTAAAAGTTAGCAAATATAGCAAGGGAGAAAGATATACAACTTAAGTCTATCAAAAAACGATGTGTCCTCATGTATGATTGCAGAAGTTCTACTCAATATCCTGAATTTTGTGGCAGATCTGCTTTCGCCTTCACACAACTAAAAAACAAGAATAAATTCAGGACAGATGCCTATTATACTAGACTGTCAGCTACACCTAAAACGTTATGGGGGATTCCAAAGCAAATCCATATGATTGAAAGTGTAATGCTTGAATCATTGACTTGCAAACGCAGACATTCAGAAATGCTAAAAAGAAATACCTAGTCCATCTAAGGAAGACTGAGTGCTGACAGGATTGCGAAGGCGGTTGACACTTCCTACCAGCCACACCGTGAGAGGCTACTTTTTCTTAACATGCCTGAAAAAGAAGGGTTAGTGCACGACCGCAGAGCTCAAGTGACACCTGATCGAAGCCTGTCATACACGGCCTTTTTGCAAACTGGAGATTTCGGTTTGCTAGTAGTTTTGAAGCTGCCTACGAACCCAAGCACTAGCATATCGTAATACGGTAGTTGGGAGTGTGCTGTTTTTAGGGCCAACCTGTTCTAATTCCACCTGCCCATAGGGAAAGCAGCATCAGCATGCCACTGTCACCCAGCCAACGGTGCAACTTCGCTCTCAGACCCCGATCATAGCGTAGTAATTTACACTGATAACGATAACTGATTTTCGTCTAACTACTATTTAACAGACTTTTCTGGCATAGTAGGATAGCGAAGGAACAAGTGTTTCTGTCAGTGTAGTTCGTTAGATATAAAAGCCACGTCAAGGTAGCAGCTATAAGTTGGGAATCCATCTACATAGTAAATGAATATAGGAATCTGCTTATTCATGTATAATACTGATAGAGTAACCTTATTTTAGACAGTTATATTTCTAAATTGCAACAGATGTTAACATGAAGACTAATACTTTTAGTTTGTATTCTACAGTTGTTGATTAATTTGAACCGAAGTGATTAGTCACTGTTGACGCATATGAATACATCTCTGAACTGATATCAGGATAAGGTGGATATGAAATCTGGCTGTAAGACGAAGCATAGACCGATAAGCCCACGAATCGATTTCCGTAATCCACACTCACTTGAATAATTTTGTTCCATATTAATTCATCAAAAGCACTTCTAACCGTTAACGCAAACCCAAAAGCAACAAAAGATGCTACAGCTGCCAACGAATAGACAAACCTATGCAGTTAACGCTAAAAAGCTGATTAACTAGTAAGATGTAAGAATGATGTATTCAGTAGAGTCACTTACAGAATGATTCGAACATAACTTTATTCGTAATAAATGCGATTTTATTCAGAAAAACATAATGGTTAATCCTCACTATCCCTGAGGTCAATCTGAAAACGTCACAGTGATATTTACCAAGGAATGCACAGTATCATGAAGGATATTGGTTTTTAAGTAACAATAAATACATTAAACGTGCTAAACAAACAACTCGCTTACAAACTTATAACACAATGGTTTGTTTATTAAGAACCACGTAGACCTAACCACTGAGAACAAGACTACAGAAGAGAGTGGATACGTATATTTAACACTCCAGTTAGAGATGATGCAAGGTAAATTGTGTGTGTGCATATTAACAGTCTCTCAAAAACCTCATGGCACGACCAAGAAAAATTGATTTCAGTGATTTTAGGCGCAAACTTTGAGGAAATACTGACATTTCTCAACAAATATCGATTTCAGATCATTCATCGTTTTGAAAACAGAATTTGAATGGCATTGGTTTGATGAACGTAACATCTTTTATCAGTTCAACTTCTTGGATATAAGGATTTCCGGGGATTTTGTCACCTGTAGCTCTGAAATTTGTTTGTTGATGGTTCCTAGCAATGTCTTCAGGGACAAGCGTTCAGGGATTGGTTCTTCGTTGTTGTATCAAGTTCATAAACAGTTTTTACCACAGGTCTAGAACTTTGGGCTTAGTATGACCTTAAAAACTATCCGTCCTCAATGTTTGACAACTATCCCTGGTGTTTACAAAGGGTATTCTCATCGGAAATCTTTTGCGTATACTGCTTCCCCAGATGAAAAATATCCAGTTTCTGGTTGGTCGACGCTTCCAGTAATAGCTCACATTCTTTCAATACCACGATGAACGTAATGGAACTGTCGGAGAAAGGCTGGTGGCAGGGATTTCAGGACGATAAGGTAAGATATGAATCGGTTAGCAAAATATTGTTTTTACACTGGTGTAGTTTCAGTTGTTCTCATGTTGACAATATAAGTGGCCACTACCGGTCACTTATTAATGTGACAGTTTAATCCAGTTTGATGTCTTTTAAAGTCTCCTTAGTGATACGAAGTGCAGCAGTCAAAATGGTCTTACAATCGTCAACCATTGCTCATCTCTTCAATTTGCTTTTGGCGACGCTGTAATGTCTTCTTTTAAGACGAAAATTGTGAGCAAAGGTTTATAGTCTGTTATCAGGAAAAAAAGGTGTCCAAAGAGGATTTTGTGAAATCTTATGACAGTAAATATGAGGTAGCGTTTCCTTTTCTACTTTTACGTGGTTCTCGGTAGCTGTTAGCTGTTACATTTTCAGCACCGAGTATAAAAACATTTTCCCCGTTATCTATGAATATGTGATAAGTGGGACAAGTGAAGATAAAATAACAGGAAGTATTTGCAGCAATAACAGTGGGGAGCTTACGAAAAAGTTTACCGAAACCTGTGAATACACATACATTTTACACCGCATAAGCAGCAGTCAGAGTACCAAGTATGCATGCCTAATTTTCTCTTTTCTCGGTTTATTTCGACTTTTTGATGGATCAATGAATAAAAGTGAACACTAAGAAACATTTCATCGAATCGCTGGTCAATTGTTCATTTTCGAATAGTACTAAGTTATTCTAGTTCAGGTTATATAGATAATCCGACTATTTTCAAACCATCCACCAATTCAGACTAAATATTTTGATACATTATTGTTTTGACTACTTCGCATGATCAGTTCGCCAATGAGTGGGTTAAAACTGACTGGATTTTCCAGTTAAATTCATTTTATATTCATTTTCCAATCTACGTAGTATCGTTAACTCTTTTACTCGCAAATATAGTTTACAACTTAGCAGACGAGGTTATGCGTCGTATGTAGCTTTTCTCTTGGAAGTAAGGAAGTACCAGTTGAGAAGATAATATATATCATTGTAAGCGGTAGATGAAGACGAACAGACGGGTGAAAATTTGGCATCTCATCAGGGTGTAATACAAAAGGTTAGTCATTATTATGGTTAGGTTGTACACTGTATATTACTCCATAGATATTTCAACTGCTGGAAGAAAGGAATATATGAACTACAGACAGGCTTTATCGGCCGCATTATTTTGAAAGACATTCTACTCAAGACTCATTCTACAGTAGTGTTGCATAACTCAGCTGAAAAGATTTTACGAACGACACATTATTTCCGTATGACTCATGACTCAAAAATAACTACATGCTAAGTGAAATCAAGTAGTTCATTTTTAGATGGTGAAGCGTTGTGGACATGTAACTTAGATCTACATACGCTTGACTCAGATGATAGTTACATGCAAGGATAGTGAGTAATCGGTCTTTGACTTCTGCCATATGGAGACTGGAGAAAAGGCTACTGGTTAAAGAGTTGAAAGTATCTTATTCTGTGTTCAGTTCAAATGGTGACTCAGGCATTAGTAAGGCGTAGCGTGATGAGCGATATTCAGATAATGAGGAGTGTAGATAGTCGGAATCATGCATATATTTTGTCGTTATCATTTGAAGTAAGTGATATCAAGTTATGTCACTTTTCATGTCGCTATAACAATAGAGACAGAAGTTCGAAAATACACCTGAAAATCAATATCAATAGGGTAGTTAGTAACAAAACACCTCACTGAGTAGTTCAATCATACATAACCTTGGTCTTATTAATCATATGAAATGACAACAACGGTTAATATGAAGGTATTCGCAAAAATATATTGACTAACCTGTAATTCCTGTAGATATTTCGACTTACTGGATTCATTTGATGATACGTTTTGATGATCATACTCATTGTGCATCGTACTTAAAATTTCATCGATTGTTTTACCGATAGCTGAAAGTAATGGGTCTAAAATAGATGAGCACAAGTGATTCAAATGACTGGCAGTTGACTCAGAAATTAATTGCAATGGATTTTGAACTGTGGTAGTAGTAGATCCTGAAGATTTGTGACTAGTTTGATTATCTTGTACTGATAATACATTCAAGTTATTCAATCGTTTACTAACAGTCAACTGTAAGTGCGTACCGAATTGGCATAAAAGATTGACCAAGTAAATGTTGTTCTGTTGTTCAGATGTTTGACAATCAATTAATTGAGTTGAACTGGTACCAGTAGAAACTAAAGCTTCCACTTTTGTTGCAAACAGAGCAATTAATTTATCCAGGTTACGACAAACCTGTATATAACACAAAAGCATGCAAATATCAAACAGTATTTTATCACGAGAAGTCTTCCATCATTTTAAACAAACCATTAATATCTACCACTAGAGAATTGGAGAACCCATATTTTATTGTTTGTTAAATCTAGAGTCTACAGAAAGGACATGGGTAAATATTAATTAGACTAAGTAGATCCTAATGTTATTATCATCGTCAAGCCTCACACTTTGTTGGTTTAATAGAGTGAATAGAATATGCCTTCTTGAAAAGAACACTGCGATATTCACAGACTTGTTTTTGATCAATAAAGAGGAATTGGTTAGGAAGGGAATTCATGACACATCTTTGACTTGCCAGATGGATATATAACAACAATTGAGGCGGTTTCTCCGTTTGCAACAAGAATTAAACATATCATTCACTCTTTCAATCATGCGTAGTATCAGAAAAATCTTGCTATCAATAAACAAATAAATGTCGAACCTCGCATAGAAATCCATCAACTTAATATGCCATACTTACCAGTAGCATCCAATGAACAAGTGGATAGAAAAAGAAAGATATATTCAGGGCATACAAAAGTGTACCAGAGAGAGAACAAATAAAGATTAATAGCTATATTCAAGATTTTGGCGATGATATAGACTGTACACAAGTGCGTCACTGTGACCGATTTTTAGTCATCAAGAGCTTCCAAACATTCCCTTTTAACATCTCGAGGAGAAAAGTTGATCAACCAACATCTCTCGGTTAACAGCCTCTGCCTTGACGTAGTGGTCAGACTTGCATATCACAATGACACAAGGAGCTACATGAACTGGAACGCCTGTTCTCTCAAGGTTCTAACATGTCAGAAAAGTCTGTTGGATAGAGGTAAGACAAAAGGCAGTTATCCTTATAATGTAAATTGCTAAGCTATGATGAGGGTCTGAGGGTGAAGTCGTACTGTTGGCTGGGTGAGGGTGTGACAGCAGTAAGGCGTTCCCTTGGACGTTCATGCCACGTTCCCAGTCGGATGGGGTAATCTAAAAAAGGGCATATTCCCCCCTGCCTTGCAGTCTTTCAGTCCCCGTAGTAACGGTTTTCCTGGACAGCGTTAGAACGACTAAATAACAAACCAACAATCCTCAAAAAACGATGTGACAGATTTCAAACGTATATCCCATGGGCCCTGCGGGCACGCAAATCTTTTACGTTTTCTCTTTCAGGTAGTCTGCAGGAACAACTTCCGCAATGTGAGCCACCGGCAAGTTTCAATTGCCAACACGCTTCTAGTAGCACACAATACCCGATCAAATATAGCCTCTTTACCTCCATCACCTTATTTGCCTTCACATCCTGATACCAAAATTAAGCTTTAAAAACTTGATTAACCTCTCATGGTGCGACCACAGTCAATGATCGAAACCTCAGTCCTAGTTTCCTAAGACCCTTTTGTCAGATTCACATTGGACCTAGCAACTTTTTACCCCTATGACAAATCGGAGAGTAGGCATCACTGTCCACAACTCCGGAATCTTGAGATATGGAGGTATGCTGTGTGTCTGAGACACGTAAACATAACCCGTGTGTGGTTATTAAATCCAACCCACCTGGTGATAGTGAAGAAGCAACTCGACGAGAGAATGTTTATTACGAACAATTGGAATGGTAGTGGTTACATATGGTACTCCTTGCACTCACGTAGCCATTTGCAAATATCTTCGTTTCCTCTCCGTTCCTGTCTTGATTTGCTCTTGACCGGCTCTTCATACACACTCTTATCAGCAGCATCCCCTGTAATACGCCTGTGTTGTCCCCGCGTTGCTCTTGGCAGAAACCTTACCCATTGCCGGTAATTCCCTATGATTCCTGCCACCCTCCCCATATATACTACTTATATCCGTTGTTATCAGCAACGCCCAGTACAATAGTACTGAATCTTCAAAATTCACCATAAGAGTATCCGGAGACCCAATGGCTCTCGTGAATTCTTTAGTGTAGGCATAACATAGAACACAGCAGAAAGTGCGCTTCTTGACTGAACGGATCTGTAAAAACTATGAAGGATCATGAGACCAACCGATGTCTATTCGTAATCTCCGCCTACGTATCCATTGACTGTAGTTCCGATGATGCAAAGGATGAATTCTATGAGCTGTCAACTTTCCTACAGAAAGCAAAACGTTCAGATATAGTCATGACGGTAGGCGACTTTAACACCCAAGTAGGAAAGCTGAGCCAGTTAGAAATGTATCTTGAGGGTATTTACGGAATCCCATGCCAACAAACCGACAACGGTGATCGACTGTAGCAATTTTGTTTCGATAATCACTTGCTTCTGGCAAGCAACAACTTTAGGCATAAAAAAAGACACTGTTTCACATGGCGTACGCTGAATTCTAACCAACGATGAACACAGGTAGATCACATAGACATCGTTGCGGACGACCGGTGAAAGATTGCCACTTTCTAGAGTACCTATTTGGATTCAAACCACGCGCTAGTACAGGCACATACGTCTGCGCCTTATTGGTCGCAGGAAACAGGGGAGAGTAAAGCCTGTCTATGGTCGATTGAAAGATGGGGATCCCAAGTACTTATGCAAGGATTTAGGCATTTATCCGAATATAACAGCAATAAACATCCAAAAGAAATCTGGAATGATATTCAGTCTGCCGTTGAAATGGTGATAAAGACCGTCGGCGACCTACATCCGAAAGTTAGTAAACTTCAATGGATTTCCGCAACATCATAGGAACTGATTGATGTAAGAAGACTAATTCTGGCTAGCTTTGAATACAGTGAAGAGCGGAAGCAACTTAAACGGAAACTGACCACTGATTCCGAGCAGTGGTAGGTGGCGAAAGCCAAAGAGATGGAAAAATCATCCGCATTAGGAAATATCTGGCAATTAATGGTTGACTAACTGACCAAAACGACGTAGAACTTAGCACACACGTGCTCCGCCTCAAGTTCCCACACTTCACAATAGTTCACAAAGAACAGATGGACAGAAAAAGAGTGATATCAAAATAGACAAAGTAGTGAGAGAGAATAAACAATCTGAAGACAAAGTTAGTGCGAATATTCAAGCTTCAGATGTCAAGGAATGAATACATCTGCGCCATTATGATCGATTTTCATCCAAGTAATTAAAAACCCCAGCGTCCATAGTTACCTCACGCTTAATTGTAGTTAGAGAACAGCAAACTCGAGAAAACTAGGCAGGTTTCAGACCTGGTCCAGGGTGCATCGATCGGATTTTTACCTTCTAATAGGCTCTGGAACCCAGGCATACCTACTGTCACCGTTTCTACTTAACTTCATCATAGACTTACTAATGGATATAATCTAAGGTACGTCTGACTTCACAGGGATTGACCTACTCCCTGGTGTTCATCTAGTTGAATTGGAATATGAAGAAAATATTGTCCTGCTAGATGATGCTGACAAAATACAGGTCTTGTGAACGCCTTAAGCGGAAATCTGATTATATTTGGCATACGTTTCGTACCAATGAAATGTAAAGTGGTGCTCTAGGACTGGTGTGCAACGAGTCCCAGCTTAATAATACGGAGTGAAGCGGGGGAATGTTGACCACTTCACTTATTTGGGAAAGTTGTATCAGTCTGAACGGGTTGGTTGCTGACCGAATCCTAGCTGGGATACAGAAGGCTTGTCTGGTATTTCCATCTTGTGTCATCTTTGGTCTCAGCTAGATATCCGACTACCTTTCAGAAAACGAGTATGCTATGCTGAAGTCCATCCTTTCGTGCTATATGGGTGACATGGCCGTTAAAAGTAGAAGAAATGAAGGGACTGCAGAGTTTTTCCCATAGATATCTTCGCAGCATTGCTCGCATCTGGTGGAATTACCACGTGAGCAATGCTGAGTTCAGGAGAAGGGTACTAGGCAAGACAGGCAAGTCGATTCATGACGTTGTATACCTAACTTAACTGAGGTGGCTTACACATGTTGCGCTTGCCAAGCCGCTGCCTATCTCGACGTGCCATGCTAAGAGGAGTTGAAATAGGTAAGAAGAGGGTTCAGGGTGGTCAGAATAAGACGTGAGAACAGTCCATGAAATCCCTGACTGTTGGTTTGAACTTTGTAGGCTAGCTGGCTGGGGTCCTTGAGATAATAGGAATCAGCAATTGAGGACTCTCGGTAACATGGCTGAAAATCAATCATAAAGGGGCAGATGTATTCAGTCACTGAAGTCTTTTAAAGCTTAACGGTTTTGATCAACCTTTATTTATAAATTCCTTTTTTACCCATACACCTATATCTACTTTGATATCAATCTTTTTCTATCCACTACTACATTGCTACTGTGACTTGTGGCAACTGGAAGCGATGCACCTGGGAGCGACGTTGCACGTTGGTCTTTTATGTCTGTCTACTTTCTACATGGCTGAGACCAATAGTCAGAGACTGGTAGGACTGGTATCACGTCTTGATCTGACTACCCTCAGTCTCTTTTCAACCTAATCGCATTTCAGCTCATATTGCACGCCGAGGTAAACAGTGACTCGATATGTGCAGCGCATGTTCAAACAAGGTTCTACGTTGATTTTGAGTGTCTGTTGTCATGTACAAGCCAGCTTAATCGCTGAAGGCTCATAACCTCATCGACTAAGTTGCCCTTCTTACTTAGTACCGTTTGCCTGACCTCTACGCTGCTCAAATGGTGATTATAACCACACACGAGGAATGCTAATAATACACTTATGGTCAAATCCTGCAACCTCTTCTTATCTTCTGCTTTCAACAGCAATACTTCACAACTACATAAAACGACACAGTGAACTAACGTGCAATACACTCATCCTTTTATTGGTCGATTACCCCGCCGGCACTAGAAATGGAGTACAGTGTACAATGTCTGAAGTTATCTTACATTTCACAGATTCAAAATGCCCACCAAACACTTAGATTTCTGCTCAAGGCAGTCAGGAAAGCCTTCACTCTGTTAACCTCTTCGTGTGAGTACTCCAAAGCAACCAGGTGCCAACATGCGCGTGATTCAATCCTTGAGAAATCTAAGGTACCGACAAATATTTGCAATGGCACGTCCATAACAAAGTTAAACAGGAATGATGACAGTGGATATCCTTGGCGGATACGAGTTGTTATCGTTACTTCAGACGACAACTCTTCAAAAACCCTTGCACTGTTGCATGACTTTGAGTAGAGGGCCCTGATTAGCATTACATACTTTTTCTGAACCCTTTCCACTATCAGACACTACCACAACACTTCTCTGTTGACATAGTCGAGTGTCACCTTTAGGGCAAGAAATATCGTATATATCTGTTGCCAATGTGAATGTCTGTCTAAACCCAATCAAAATTCAAAGGTCCAATTGATACACTCTCTTTCAACTCTGAAGCTTGTCTAGTTTTCTTGAAATTGCTGTTCTCGTGCTCTAGTTAGCGTCGGATAACTATGGACCCTAGGACTCCGGACATGATGTCAGTATGATAGAAAAAAACAACGTAGATCCTTGCACAGAAGTGCATCCGTTAAAATCACCACACTTTACAGCACCATGCACCAAACAAGTGGGTAGAGGAAGTGAAATCAAAGTAAACAAAGATGGATGAGAGAAGGGATTTGAAAATTAAGGCTAGTGAAAGTGCTCAAACTTTAGAAAACGTCAAAGATCGAGTGTACATTTGCACCATTGGAGACAATGTTAGTCAAACTGACTCCCTGTATTTTTAACATATAAACTTCTTTCCTTTCTTATACACCAGAATGATCAGCAATCTAGACCACCCTTGATGGGACTACTTCTGATTCTCATCCACTAGTCAGCGCTGCCGTTACTCTACTCAGTAATTATCTACCTCCAATCTTGAAAGTTTCTGATGGCAAACCGTCAGATCCTGCTGCTTTGTACCCTTTCAGATTTGAAACAAGCTTCTCAGTTTTAGTCTGTAAGATGACCAAAGCTCAGGTCTCATTCGGTTGCCAGGTGGATGTTTGGCAACTAAAGCGTGGTAGTAGACCAGCTGAACTTTACAGCGTTCTAACCGACCATCATAATCTTGTTGTGAGTTTTTTTAATTGACCTAAATAACTGTTGATTATTACCTTATGTTAATGCCTTTACCATCGCTCTGGCTCTTGTCACCCGCCACTGCTGGCAGTCACTACGAAGACTCTTGGCCAATTTAGGTCTAAACAGCTTTTACTCATCGAAACAGTAATGTATGTTACATTCACGAAAACAATTTTAAGCAAAAGAGGAACTCACTTTAAACAAAAGGTCATGATGAACAGTAGCATATGCTAATTCATTTACCGCTGTTTGCACAATATCATTCAATTCATTATTATCTGGTCCCGCTGTTGTAGATGTTGAAAAGGCTAAAGTTACTCTATCAAACAGACGAGATACACTCCGGATAAATAAGCTGTTTCAAACGGTTGTAAAGCTCGAACTAAGCATGAAGGAAGTTCAGAGATATTTCGAACACCCGTTGCATATCGATCAAACTCCTGATTTCCATTAAACTCATCAGACAGTGTATTGGTTACACGACGTCCTAAGTCCAGTATCAACTTTAACAGTTTAGGATATTCTCCTTCAAGAACTTCTTTTATTATTGGGGACTGGTTAGAAATACTAGAAAGTTTAGCAGCAAACTCATCTGATGCCCATCCAAGAAATCCTTCATTCTGTTCTAGAGCATTACGAAGAGCTGTGCGATTGCCATCCACTATTTTGTGAGACAGGAAGTCATTCACTGAAGAAAGATCCGTTTTATGTTCTATAATCAAAAATTCAATCTAACGTTAGGAAAATTAAATAATGAGTATTGCTGCAGATACAGTGTGTTGTTATCTAGTTACATAAAAAAGTAAGCTTTATGTGACCATAACCACCTATAGGCTTGATATTTATCGACTATCATTGTACAGTCACTGCCTTTGGACAAACAGAGAAAATCAACATAGAATCGCGCACACAAGTGTGCTGGCTCAGTTTGACAGATTTCACAGTATTATACAAATAACAAGTGAATAAGAAAAGATTTCTACCAAAGTAGACAAAGGTGTATGAGAGAATAAACTATTTGAAGATAAAGGCTAGTATATATAATCAAACGTTAGAAGACGCCAAGGAGTGAATACATCAGCACCATTGTGACTAATTTTCAATCATGTCACCAAGAGTCAGCCCTCAACCACTGATTATTTTTCGCTTCGGAGACCCCAGACAAGTGGTTTACACTTCAGTACACGGCTCAGACCAACAATCAGGGACTTTATCGACTAGTGTCACGTCTTGGTCTCGTTACCCTGACCCCTGATCAGACTTCCCGCAGCATGGGACATCGACACATGCAGTCACTCGGCATATGCACTACATGTTCGAGCCATCTCAGTCAACTAGGGGTCACAGTCTCACCAATCGACTTGTCGGTCTTGCCTAATACCCTTCTCCTGACCTCAACATTGCTCACGTGGTGATTCCACCAAACGCGAGCAATGATGAAAACTCTGTCTTCTACTTTTAACGTCTATATCCCACAGCTATACAACAAGATATAACGGACTGCAGCGCAGTGTACTCATCCTTTGATAGATACCCGGGTATTTCGCCAACGCCATCAAGAAATGGCTGGATAGTTTCGTTTTCAATGTTAGGTGTCATAGGTGTCTTTTGTTAACGATTAGCAGCATGGAATGAGGTATGTGTTGAGGAACGTGAATTTCGATTGTTTCCCAACGGATATCACCACTTATTTATTTGTCTTAAACAAACCAATAATTATCTACACCAAATTATTATTTATCAATTAAGCTAGTGATCACTTTTAGGGTTAGTAAAACACTTTTATATGAAAATAAATTTATCTACCTATTTAGATTATTTGATTTTACAGATGCCATGATGTATTTAAGTCATTAAGTAGTGTATATAAGGGAAAATCAACGTGAATGGATGAGTTGCACCTAAGGCTACTCAGACAGCTTGCATCCAATGTAGCTGACTGACAGATCCCTTTCCTAAAATTGCTTTTTATTGAAGCCACACTTCTATGTGAGTGGAAGAACATCATAGTTACATTTATCCACAAGACAGGTACTTGACAGCACTCATCAAAACACAGACCAGTAAGGATGACTAGTAATCAAGAAAGCCACTATGGTTCACTTAGAAAGCATCACTCTGTTGTCGTGTTCACAACATGCCTTCCTCAGAATTTTTTGCACGACAAACCTCAGTCAGAAAATGTTCGATTGCGTCTAAGATTCATAAGATAACTGTAGTTGTCAGTCATTTTTATTGATTTCACTAAAGTTTGACAAGGCACGTCATTCCACGTTGCTCACGAAAATGGAAAGCTTCAGAACCACTGGCAATCTACTTACTTAGATCGTTTAGTTTACTAATCGTAAGCGACAAAGAGTTAAGGTCAATGCATTCAACAGATAATTAGATAATTTCGTTTTCAATATTAAGTGTAACAAGTAATTCAATAGTGAAATAATCAAATGAATAGTTTATTAACTACCTCTTAGTTATATATATTCATTATTCAAGATAATAAAATACTATCTACTGTCGATCAAAAAAAAGAACACCTTACGAATTGAGTGTGACACAATCAACATATATCATTTCAGGGACTGACATCAGTTGAGAAACCATTGAAAACCTGGGAGTGCTGGACAGCTGTTTCATTCTAGTAGAGACGCCAACTGAAGATTTAGGTAGATAGTTGTGCTATATCACGAATTAACAGAAGTAGGAAACTGTGGATCATTGAACTCCGACCCGGTCGCTGAGTGTTTAATGTATACGCCATGAGATCTGAGGGTCTCGAAGCCTAATCCATGAGGGGGTTCATTACGGCGCACTGCTGGGGAGTCCCATACTATGACGAGACAGCTATCTACTCCCTTCAAGGTTTTAATAGTTCTTCAACTGATGTCAGTCCGTGATGACTACTACCCTGAAATAAACAAAATCCCTACAAACCCCTAAACCATATATATATATATATATATATATATATATATATATATATATATATGGAATGAAAAATTAGAACTTGCAAATAGATAATATCATAGACCAAATCTACGAACACAAATACCTTGACGACTGAGAGTTCCTTTAAAATTCGCAGATGAAAAAATTAGCAAAATAGAAGTGTATATCTCAGATTTCTTAGGATTCTGCCAATCAGTTAGCATTTCATGTATGAGTAATTCAGCTAAACTTGGATATAGTTCTGAAATGTTTTCATCTAAACGATGGATACTAGTCATGCAAACATCACCACCACGTGTTTCACGCTGTTTCATTAAAGTGATACCAAGTAAACGACTGCGTGATATAAGCTGTTCCATTTTATCAATTGCACCATCTAAACTTGTCCAGACAGCAACGTGAAAAGCAGCAGCTTGACCACCAACCGCTGATAATGAGGCTCTACCTGAAGAAATATTATTTTTTAAAAACATTATTTAGCAATTTTATAAAGAACACCATGTCAACCTGTAAGTGGTACAATTAATAACTGGATTGATTGACCATAATATTACCTGCAACTAACAGTCAAAGCCTCTGTAATCAACACACTGGTGCTCTCGAATATACTATTAGCTCTTTAGGTAGGATACATGTATGTTAAATCCTTCCCTACCCTGTTCTCCCTTACCCCCATATAGTGTAAACTTTGTATACCCCTTTTTATATCTTTAGTTTCATACTATTTAGTATTATTGAGTAGCATAAGTCATATTTTCCTCTAATGTTACTTGATGCTCGACTTGAACATTAATTCTATTCAATCATATTTTGTTCATCGTTCAACATCTCTAGGAATTAATTCCTTTCCCGGTTTATGATACTTTTGGGATCCTTTAGCATTCCTCCTTGATAGTCTATGTTACCTTGAGCATTTGTTTACCTCATGTCTTTTCACCATCGAGGGAATATGAGCATGTCCTTCATATTCGATTTGAACACAAACTTGCTGTTGTACTGATCAACCTTCTCTCTCTCTCGGATTATGTAATAAAAGCCATAGGTTAGTGTTGTGAGGCCCTAGTTTTGCATAAAACATTGTTATTGATCAGAACATTTTTAACTTGGCATTCTCATACCATTTTTGAGGTATGACTGGTAATTTTCTGCCCCCATTGTAATGTAATTCGCTCTTTACTCTCACCATGCCAATGTCTCGAATTGCGGACAAGGTCATTTTTCACGTGTGTACTTATCCGTGTTTTGAGACTGATTAATGTTATTACATTTCGGAGGAATAAACTCTCCTATCATCCAGCTTCGGTCTTCTCTCTATTCGTCTCGGGTTGCAGTCAGTGGCTCTTGCGTACTAAGCTAGCCGTCAGTTAAACGTGCGTATTATATTCGTCCGGAATATATAACAGTTAGCCAATTTAAACTCACGCCACCTTTTACTCACAACTTAACAACTGTAAGCCCATGGTGGAAAATCATGGATCCATCGTATTTCACATGTTATAGTAATCCAGTGTTTCCACACTGATGACTGATTAAAACAATATCGTGAACTACTTCATAGGTTGCAGACAGACGATGAAAAATTGGACGCCGAAACTTATCACTCAGAAATCACAAAATAAAATTCGCATTACGTAAGTACCCAGCGAACGTGATTTTACCTCGGTGAATACATTAACAAGTCCCAGAAATCACGGAATCAGTAAATCAAGTTTACTAGATTTGAAATAATTGCAAACGAGTGTCATTCGACTACTATTTATGATAGGTAGTACATGACTTAGTAGGTTGCCGTTGAAATGTTCATCAATGAGAAACGTATGTTGGATACACACATGGTGCATGAAGCACTACACAGAAAACAACCCAACGAAACAAGCTCAGCCACCTTGTGCGTATACACGCTGTAGGAGATGAGCCAAATTTGTGTGGAGGGTAGTGATACTGCCTGACTACCAAAACCTCGGTATATGGTGCGGAGTTCGAAACCGTGACTCAATAGTTGACGGTCATCCCCTTAAACCGATAGATCACACCTCCAGCGGAGTTTCAGTATTCAGAAAATCGATATTGAAATTATCATTCGCAAATGTATACCTACCTAGTTAAAACTACAAAACGCATAACATGTATATACTCCGACATCAATTACATCTCTGAAAAAATTTTAAAACAAAGGCGCAGCGAAGAAAACTAATATATAATTTTAATATGCTTTCCCTGCACCAACTGTAAAGCAAAACCTTACACCTATTAATACAATTTGCACGGATAATAAAATCTTGTTTGTTTGTTTCTTTTGATAAAAAATGCAATTCAACACGTTCCATGAACTTGTTTAGACAGCTGTGCGTTACATATTCGATGATACTACGCGGTTGGCAAGATCAGTTAGTGAGATCGGCTTCCACTTCGGGATCCAATGGTTGAAAGTTGAATGATATAGCCAACAAGCCTTATTCACGCAAAACGTTTATACTTTTCGATCTATTTACTCATTACGAGCTAAAGCTCGTCTGCTGTGTGATGAAGGAAGTATTAGAAATGAATTAACTAATCAACTTCTGTTTTTGAAAGTAAACTAACTGAAGATGAGCGTGTTACTTTTTATGTATTATGGATCTAATTGCCAATGTGATTGTCTACCTAAACTGACTGTGCATTTTGAAGAAAGTTGTAGATAGAGCGAATACTTTTATCTTTTCTTCATGTAATCTCTACTTATTTCATTTTGCTATGTATACAAATACACTGTCTCTATCCAATTGATGCTATATGACGTGCTGAAAATTCAGCAGAGTATTCCCAAAATAGCTTTCAGAATAAAGCCATTATTATTATTAATCGAAAGTGGACGCATGATTAACTTTTAGTATGTAGATATTTTTGGAAAAGGTTTCCATTCATATAAAGAAAGATTAACTTCCGAGGCCCTGCATATTTTAGCAACATCAAATGCTGTAGATAGAAAAGAAGGAATAGACTTGTCACCTGTCTCGTAAGCATTAATCTGACTAAATGAACTTAACAAATTGAAGCTGCAATAACAATGACGATTACTGGCAGTTTTATAAATGAAAGTACAATACACGACACACATTCTACAACATACATGAACACACGCGCACACTTTGACTACCTTATATTTTCGTTGATAGTTGACAATAACAACCATGAACTTGCAATAACTAATTACTCAGGTGGGACAGGGAAAATCACGCAACCAATGACCTACGTTCACTAAATATATTCGATTTATCATTTGACTATACATTATGATGTTAATAAAAATCCGTATATTCTGCTGAAGAAGCTGTGAATTACACAGTGAAACGTTCAGAAATATCTTAATGTGATTAACCTGGACAGCATAGGATTATTTTGAAATATAAGATAATGATTCAATGAGTCTGTGCTCTTGATTTCTACCAGGACATTCGTATTAATATGGTCTGTTTGTTTATATTCTTTGAAGAAAGCTAGGGAATATTGTCGAAATCTGTTGCAGTTTCATTTATGTGATTTACTTTTTTGAAATATTACTTGATAAGAAAACTAGTGAGGTGAGCTATTTGCTCAATGAATTTTTTCAATTAATCCTGCAGATGTCTCTATCCACCTTTTACTTATGCTCATTTGATTATAGTATGTAAGGACTAGAAACACTTTCTTACAGCCGAGATATGCGAATATATTTGTAAAGTTAGCTAGAAAACATGTGTACCTCTAATGTTGCTGTTTTCTTGAGAATGTGTCTCATCTGTCGTGTGATTGAATACTGAGTTATTTTCAGATCGCAGGGAAGAAATATTTTGGGGCAAATCGAAGAGACGAGGAGCCAAAAGAGCAGGGTAGAACTCTGGGCAATGTCGCAAAACCCCTAGTTTTCAATGTAGTTTCTCCCTATCACTCCTCGTTTCGCCTTGCGAAAATCTTGACTAGCGAGTAATCGTATTATTAACTGTGTTGTGACGATAAGCATATCATAGAGATTTTTATAAAATTTCGTTTTAGGGATATTGATAACTTTTGTGATGTACTAACAGTACTCAAACATTACATTTACAGATATGTGTTTAGCGAAGTAAAAATTAGCTACTCACTTCAAAATAAATTTCGTAATGAGCAAATAGATCGAAAAGTATAAACGTTTTGCGTGAATAAGGCTTGTTGGCTATATCATTCAACTTTCAACCATTGGATCCCGAAGTGGAAGCCGATCTCACTAACTGATCTTGCCAACCGCGTAATATCATCGAATATGTAACGCACAGCTGTCTAAACAAGTTCATGGAACGTGTTGAATTGCATTTTTTATCAAAAGAAACAAACAAACAAGATTTTATTATCCGTGCAAATTGTATTAATAGGTGTATGGTTTTGCTTTATTTTCCGTATATTCTGCTGAAGAAGCTATGGCTTAAACAGTGAAATAAGAACTTTTTTGTTTTGATTTTCAAAACACTCCGGCATCGTTGAGCAAACCGTGAGGAGCGAAAAGGTGGGTCATACTCTGATGCGCATACCGATGAAAAGATCTTACAAGATTTGGATTTCGCCAATGATGATGATTTATGTCTAATGTCTTGCCGCATAAACTCGAAGATATACAAGCGAAAACCAACAGGTTGGCAAAAGGGTAGAGACAGGGCAGCGAAGACGGGGCAGGGACTTCAGGTTAACGTAGAGAAAACAGAGGTGACGAAGATACCCAACAAACAACAACAACAAGCTCCAATCACCATCAACGGGAGAAACCTAAAGAAAGTAGTCTCTTAAACCTACCTAGGTTGGGTAGCTTCGTTTCAACTACAGGTGACACAAATGACGACGTCAAAGCCAGTCAGGATAGGAAAGACAGCAAGACAGGCCTTCATTATTCCAAAAATAGTGTGGAGATCTACTGTACTCAGCATAAAGAACAAGACCCGGATTTTGAACACCAATTCAGTCAAGTCAGTGCTTCTGTATGGTTCAGAAACTTGGCGCGTCACGAAAAGCATTTCCAACAAACTGCAGACATTCATCAATAGCTGCCTATGCTCGATTCGGAAGATCAAATCAGAAGACTAGAAAGAATTAGCAACAAGGAACTCACTCTGGCTGGTAACGAACCAACCAAGAACCTATCGTTCAGCAAGCATGCAGAAGAAAGTGGAGGTGGAATGGATTGGGGATACGCTGAGAAGACCGAGTGAGGACATCATACGCCAGGTCGTCGAGTGGAACCTGTATGGGAAACGACGAGCTGGCCGTTGGAGTCGAGTGTGGCATGGAGGAGATCGTGTGAGAAGGAAATGGAAGCTTCTGGGCAGTCGTGGAGCCAGGTTGAGAAGACTGTAGAGAAGAGAGTGCAGTGGAGACGTGCTATTGAAGCCCTATGTTCCATTGGGAACCCAAGGGATAAATAATAATAACAATAATAATAATAAGTATGCTTATAATACCTTAAAGAAGCCTGGAGTTGCGTGGAAAGCTTTTATAGCGAATCATGACGTGCCGAGCTTTTGTGAGAAACCATGTGATCACACATGTGAGTCATAAATCGGCTGAAAAGGTTCCTAGAAAGGTGTAGAACATACCAAGGCCATCAGAAAATGTGAGTAAATCGTTGCTTTTTGTACATGTTTGACTTGACAATAAAACCTTATTGCTTTTGCAGCTTCTATCTGTTTCCGAGGTACCGAACGGTACTAAAGTGTGAAGGCCTAAGGTTATTGTTCAAGAACTCATCCATATATATCTAGACATATCTATGAAAAGGATATATCAGAAATCTAGTCAACGTGCATACGGCAATATGATCGTGGTAAATAGGTTTAGGAACGTCATGCGAATTGAAAGATTACTCAACAAGGGTAAATCAGAATTGAAGTAAAATCAGCGTCAATAGGGTCTGAATTTCCACTAGTGCAGTTTCAGATATATTACATGTGATAAAAGCACAGACATCTCAAGTTATCCACAACAAACTCAAAAACTGTTTTCAAAAATAACCTTCGACAACATCAAGTGTGTAGCCAAAAGATACAGTCATACAGGTAACTAAAACAACCCACTTCATCAAGCTAGTCCAAAGAAGTAGACGAACTTGTTAGTTGGCTAAATGCAGAATCTTCAAGTTGTTAGCAAAGATAGTTGCATTTTACAGTTTATAAAAAGTCGACATTAATGAAACAACAATATCAGAAAGAGAGAAAACTTAGACTGCTAGTATCTCAAAAATTGCATTCGGTGAGCAACACTTGATTATGCTTAGGAATAGAACAGGTAAAAGTTATACATATTTGATAATAACACCTAAAACCTGAAGATTACTTTTACCTGGACCAGAAGTTCCTTGTTGGATTTGTTGACGTGTTCGCATACGTTGGGTTAACGAGTCGATGTCAACAGAATTCGACAAAACAGAATTGAATTCAGTTTTCCATCTAGTTGCCAATTCATGAACTACGTCCATTAACATGTTTAAATTGTAGAAAACCTAAATAAAATCACATTTTTAAAAGTTGACATGTATCCTATTATAAACATAAATATCATTATTATAATGTGAAAGAAATGGAAGTGAGGAAAATTTTCGCAGGTTCTTTTCCTCACACAATTTCACAAGTTTTATAAGGCTAAACTGTTGTTTTACTTGCCTGAAACATTAAAATTTCTATAAACCATTTTAAAACAGACCTTTAGCAAATCTTTTTCAAAAATAGTTTAGCATAAACACTTCGAAGGGTACAAAATCAGTCATTCATCTGTTTTCGAGAACTTATTGTCTTCCCCCATCACGAAAACTATTTAATGTAATGAATTAGACCTTACTTTTGTACAGTGTAAGTGTGCTTCTGATTACATCATATATTGGCCAGAGTTCCCCATCCGTAATGGTTAGTAAAATACGTTTCCACAACCGAAAAAACAACTTAAATATTACAGTAATGATGGGCAGTGGCTAGCAGTGGAGTCCAGGATGCGCATTTCGTCCTGTTTGGGACTCGTCATCTGGGTGTACCTGCCTCCCAGTGAGTGGTGTTGTTCCCACGGGGATTCGGACTCGGCAGCGATCGCTTCAAACGCGAGCGCGTTATCCACTACACCACCGAGCTACGATAGCCATTTCTTGTGCGACGGGTATAGTTTTAGTGTTATTGCTTGTATTACACCGTTGTTGATTGGACCGAATTGATCAGTCTCTGTTGGCATATGGGCTCCTGTGCGGATACCTCGATATTGCCTGTGTTTCAATTATGTATAGTAATGATGGGCAGTGGCTGACGAGTCCCAACTAGGACGAAATGTGCATCCTGGATTCCACTGCTAGCCACCGCCCATCATTACTATACATAATTAAAAGACAGGCAATTTCGAGGCATCCATATAGGAGTCCATATGCCAACAGAGACTGATCGATTCGGTCCAATCAACAACGGTGTAATACAAGCAATAACACTAAAACTTAAATATTAGGTAGCTTTATGAAGTAAGATTTCTTGTAATTGCCTTCAGATTTACTTAATGTATTCCGTTTGATAGCCAGTGCAGAAAACAATACAGTTTTTAGTTACACAATTAACTGATGGTGTGTTTCCGTGGCCTGGTGGATAACGCTTTGTCGCTTTAAGCGATGGGTAAAAGCTTTGAGTCTCAGCGGAAACAACATCACTCACTGGGATGCGGGTACATTCAGTTGACGAGTTGCATCAGCCCGAACGGATTGGTTGATGACGAAATTTTAGATCGGATACAGAAGGCTCATTTGGCACTTGGCAGCTTGCGTCCCCTATGGCGTCGGCGAGATATCCGGCCATTTATCAAAGGACGAGTATACTGTACTGCAGTCTGTTCTGTCCTGTTTTACGGCTGACACGGCCGTTAAATGATGGCATGAAACAGTTACAGTTCTTCAACTATAGGTGTCTTAGTAGCATTGCTCGCGTTTGGTGGGATCACCTTGTGAGCAATGTTGAGGCCAGGCGAAGTGTACTAGCAAGACAGGCAAGTCGAGTGACAAGGTTATGAGTCTTAGTCGACTGAGATGGGTTGCACATGCACTGTGCATCTCGAGTCACCGCATACCTTAACGTGCCATGCTACGGGGAGTTGGATGGAAAATGGTTCAAAATGACTAGACCAAAACCTGTCCATGAAGTCCTTGAGTGGTGTGTGGAGATGCAGATTAGTGGTTGGGGTCGCCGAAACGAAAGGAAACAATGATTGGCGACTCTTGGTGACATGGTTGAAAACTGGTCACAGTGGCGCACATGTATTCACTCCTTGGTGTCTTGTAAAGCTTAAATATTCACACTAACCTTGATCTTGACAGTGTTTATTCTCTCACACCACTTTATCTACTTTGATATCACTCCTTTTTTATCCACCTGCTGTTTGTGTACTTCTGTGATGTGTTGCAATGCACTTCTATGCAAGGTTCTACGTTGGTTTTGTCAGTCAGTCAGCTGACGAGTCCCAAATAGGATGAGGTGCACGTCCTGGATTTCAGTGCTAGCCCCAACCAAGTCAATCATGGTTTACAGATAGTTTTTACATAAGTTTAAGGTTACTATACTGAGAATTACTGGGTTAGTTAAAATAATTCAACTTTTCTAAACGCCATAAAGAAATAATAAAGAGGTTCTTAAAACAGTCTACATATTTTACTCAACACAAACTCGGCACTGAGAAATGCTTAGATTGTGAAAAGTAATTGCACAAAGATGCATACATTACCATAATACTAAAATGATGTATGAGTATAGCAGTAGAAGATGAAAGCATGGGTGAGATGAATGATTAGATACTACTGAAGAACAGAAGACAACTCGACGAGAGAATGTTTATTACGAACAATTGGAATGGTAGTGGTTACATATGGTACTCCTTGCACTCACGTAGCCATTTGCAAATATCTTTGTTTCCTCTCCGTTCCTGTCTTGATTTGCTCTTGACCGGCTCTTCATACACACTCTTATCAGCAGCACCCCCTGTAACACGCCTGTGTTGTCCCTGCGTTGCTCTTGGCAGAAACCTTACCCATTGCCGGTAATTCCCTATGATTCCTGCCACCCTCTCCATATATACTACTTATATCCGTTGTTATCAGCAACGCCCGCTACACTACTACAAAAAAACTTAAGTAGTTAGAAACCACTCAGGTTGATTCGTAGTATTTTGGCAGCCAGATCAGGGTGATCTAAACACTATCATAGCTCGTTGGGTCATTGTGATATACAAACCCAACCACCACGTCAAGGCAGCAACTATCGGTCGGGGACCTAAACACCACACGGGCGTTCCGCTAGTTGGAGGCCGAGCTCATCAGCGGCGAACCTGTAAGAAAATTCACCTCATAGCCAAATTGTTCAGGTCACCTGAATCTGACTAGCTAACTTTTGCACAGACTGGTATACCTAATATAAGATGATCACTTTGTAAATGATCTACAAATTGCACGGTCCATGTTGATTTTTCTCGCACAGCTTAAAATTCTAACTGCCCAACTGCGTCAACAGGGTTTCTGCTAGAAGCCACTAACCCAAAATCACAAGGTGTGATTTCTGGTGCGAAAGCGTCGTGAACAAGCTACTACCACTACTACTACTACTGAACAAATTGAGTAGTTAGAAACCATTCAGGTTGGTTTGTAATAATTCGTCAGTCAGATTAGCGCTGTGAATGGTTAGTGAATGGTTCACTGATGGTTAATTCACATAAACAAGCACAAGCATATGCTAATACCACGGTGTATACACTCACAATCCTAGGGAAACGGATGTTAGAACAGACAGAAAAATTTAGAGTAGGACTTGGTATTACTGCCTAATGATCCAAGTTGTTATGCCCCATATCGCCATATCACGCGATAATGCACTAACATAAAAGATAAAAAAAATAAACGAAGACGTGAAGTGGTAGAAAGTCATCAAACGAGTACAATAAAGAATGAGAGAATACAGACATTCAGTTTGACGACTAAGATGAAGATGCGGAGATATGTCTGCGTCACTGACATCGATTTTTAGCCATATTCACCTTGAGTCTCTAAACACTGATTGCTGTAGCAACACAGAGACCTTAACGGAAGGGTCTACATCCCCCTCCCACAGCTCAGGTAAACAGTCAAAGACTTAAGGGACTGGTACCATGTTTTAGTTTGGTCACCTCTAACCCCTTTCTGGCCTAAACCTACTTCACACAATATGGTGTGACGAGGCAGACGGTGACTAGGCATGTCCCAAACCACCTATCCAGGCACAGATAACTAAAATAAACGTAGCCACTTACAAACCGTTGATGAACCACAACCGCATTCTTAGATATGAGATATCCATTCACAAATTTCTTACTCATCAATGTTAATATTACCAGTAGTGATCATGAAGCCTAGCTACGAGAAATAGATAGATTTTAAAGGCCACCCTAGCAACTGCTCAAATAACCAGTCAGATTTCGGGGTTCCAGCCAGAAAGGTAGTTCTTCATAAAATAAGGAAACATACTTTGTTATCTGATAAGTTAGTAGGGTGGCCTTGAAAATCATTCGAGGAATAGGAAGACGTGAAAGAAACATATCGCCAAATTTCTAAGTGCAAAACTTCGACCAACCAAATTCATTTGCAGTTAGCCTGTCAACCAATAATCTACCACGTTCGTAGCGCTATCTACGAAGAAATTCTTCGTCAAAATCCTACAGCAGATGATCGTGGACACTAAAGACAGTCCTTTCATATACTATGACTAGAAGTGAAAAGGGTTTACAAGACACTTTTTAAATTATCCAGTGAATGATACTTGCCCCACTGTGTAATGCATACAATAAACAAAAGTGAATTACAATCAATCATAACGCCCAAGTTGAGTGACTTCACAGACCACAGTTGCAAATGTTGAAATAACCAATCAAGTTTCGGCACTTCGGCTGAGATGGTTATTCATGAAATACAAAAACTTAATTGGCTATCTCGTTTTGTCAGTGTGCCCACTCCCCAAAGCGAGTGACTTTAAGGGCCACCCTAGTAACTGATGAAACAACTAATCACGTTTCTCTATTCTGTGAAAATTATCTCAGCCGAAATACCACAACCTGATTGGTTATTTTGGCAGTTGTGTGGCCTTGATATATATATATATATATATATATATATATATATATATATATATATATATATATATATATATATATATATATATATATAGTGAGACGGAGAGAACAGGGTTCAACTACTCACTGTAAGATTTAAATAAGTGAGAATTTTGAATATCCAAGTAAAAAGTGGGGTGCGGGACTATACATATATGATATGCAGGGGGAAAATGTACATACATGGTAAGTAAATGTACCTGTAGTCCCGTGGCCAACTGAGCTTGATCAGATAGCTCATAAGATGAATTCACAAGATCCCATGATTGTGATACCATATCCTCCCGGAGTTGGATCAGCGTACGACTATAGGTTTCCAACACATGGATTCCTTCCCAATTCATATTATTAAGCAAGAACTCCATCTCATTCATATACATTGATGACTGACACAAATCTTTAGATCTGCCTATTTAAAGATTATAATTATATAGCACTGAAAATAGAACACAAACTTTGAATCCGCTTCATTAGCGTTGCAATTCGGGAGATATTACGAAGTAGAGAACAAGTAATGTGAAGGTTTCTGAAATGAGTTACACTTGAAGATAAAGTTTCGTGTGGATCATCTATTTTCTTCTTAACTTTAGATATTGATACTGACAAGTTTTGAATTCTGTTTTCAACCATCTGTAAAACATTTTGCAATTTATCAATGTCAGAAGCTCTCTTGAACAGATCAACATGATTATCGGCCACATGTTGTTGAATAAGTCCACCTAACCTAATAATGGTAACAATAGAGAAAGAAATAATTACTTCTAAGACATGTGAAAATAGAGATGAAAGTTAAGAAACGATACTATGAATATTTCAACACACTGGGAAGGTACGGCATGCACGTTGAAACGCACCTAGTCATACTGTGCACATCCGTGCAGTAGGCGCGATGAACCACACCTGTTATGGAAGGGCTAATGGTACTACTTGGGTTCCCAAACCTCGGTAGGCGAAGAGGGGTTCGAACCTGCGATCCAATGGTTGATGTTCATCTCCCTAAACCACTGAGCCACAGTACACACAATACATAGACTGAAGAATACCGTGATATAACTGATTTTGTACATAATAACTTTGGCATTTTTAAAATCACCTATTGTTCGTTGAGAAGTAATATACACTAGAAACATCAGGCATTCCCAGAATGTTAATCGTGTTAATAATGTCCAATTAGAGATTTGCCAGATAAATAGAATAAACGAGAAGTCACTTTTGCATTGTAATGATGTGTGGTGACTGGCAGCGATATTTAAGACAAAATATCTTGCTTCAGAAACTAGGGGCCATAATGTACAAGTGTATCTGTTACACACTGAATAGCTGTGAAAACTCAATAGCTTAGTGCATAAGGATATGGAGTTTGAAGCGACAGGTGCTGGGTCCGGGCCTCTGGTGCGATAACATTGGGAGGAAGGCATATCACGTTGACCATCCTCAAATAGGGCGAAATGCGTGTCCTCGACTTCGATGCTAGTAAAAGTTTCCACCGTTCACATGAGAGCACTGAGTTCGAACTCCACACGACATACGACAGTGAAAGGATAACATTAACACTAACAAGGCCAAAGAAATGTTTTTAAAAAATGAATAATTCGAAAGATTTTCAAATATTACATGAGAATACCATGTGGATGTATTTTATTGGGCGTAGTCGACCTTTCTGTAAAATCAGGTAAAGCATTATACTATTTCGGGCATAAGAGAATCCAACTAGAAAGAGCACGCTTTCCCATATGTGAAGTAAAAGACGTAACTTCAAGAACAGGTGTCATGTTTTGATGAAACTGCACAAAATTTTCCAACCTAACTACTCCTTAGCCAGCACGATGCATCAAACCAACAGAAACGCGGCATACGTAGCACATTTGAATGCTTTCATACGTTCGAGTATGAGATGAGTCCACTCGTCTTCAAGAAATTCTTCTATACGCCCATGGCTTTATTACCTCCACCAAAGAATTCTCGCTCCCTGCCTTTGCCTGGTCTCCACATAAAGTAACAGGTCGAAAGAGAATGTCCGGAGCTTATCACCAGATTAGTGTATACAGGGGACCCAAATAAATAAGCTGAAAAACTCCGCTTCCGAAACAATGCTCCACCGCCTGACTTGTAAACCGAACTACCAATCAGACTCAGAGAGTGATTCTTCAAGACAACCACCTGCTTCGGTTTGAGCGTCCGTGAAGTATCTTAACTGCTTTCACAATTTATGGAGGTATAAAACCTCAATTAATGCTCGAAAACGTCCATACTTATTTGAAATACGTTTTATCAACGCCACAGAAGGTTAAATGAACTGTTCAAACTACTTTTATTATCCTGCTATAGCCGCATTTATCTTCATTACTATTTCACTCAGTTAACTGTCACTGTCTGAAATTCCGGTCAATTTTTATTATCTTGAGTAGCTTAGCAGTTTACTCCGATAGTGCTGTTTTGCTGTACAATACGAGACCCAACTATTCGAAAACCGTTTAAGCTCCTGGCCTTCAATATTCAGATTTTGGTACAAACAGGTTTGTCTAGGACGCTGGAAAGCCTCACAATTGACGCATATTGTACCGCAGAGATTCACACATGAGATCCCATAAAAGTGCTTTGAATAACTCCAACAACCAGGGGACACACAATAAGTCACAAATCATGTAGTGACAACCTTGATTTCCTCTCAACCTTTAATATCTAGTAACAACCGTGCATTCCTCTTTTCTTGAGGTTTTCTATCATCTATCAGCATGAGTAAATCCTTTAAAATGTATTTAAATCCTTCTTTGACCGTAGCATCCAGTTTAAAATCTTCGGTGATATTTAGTAATCCAAATGAAAAATGGAAACGTTTATCTCACTATGCATTGATGACTTTGCTTCTCAAAGTGAGTGTAAAACATTTATTTATATGACAGACTGAACGCATGAACAGTCCAAGTCTTTCTTTGCTTCACAGACAATCAAGCCAAAATTGGCTTCCACGGTTTCGTAAGTTTCTCGATAAAATTCACGCTATCTTTTATGCATTACGTTTAAGCATTCACTTGATGCTTAGGATTTTTTTCTTTAAGAGCTATTCTCTTGCCAAAACTGTTCAATTTTAAAACCTTAGCAACTTTCTGTTTACAGATAATTACAAGACAATATAAACGCTCCTTCCTAAAACTGAAGGTTTCTTAAGAAAATGAAGTAATATCATGTTCAGAAGTGCTAGAAGTGTCTTGCTTACGCTGTAACACAGTAAATATCAGGTGATTTTTCCAGGATACCACTTAGATCATATCATTTACTCCCAATTCTTAATGTAACTCAAGCTCTGAAAAAAGAACGGTGCGAAAAAGGTTGCTAATTAGGCAATTTCATTACTTTCAACTTCGGTTTGCCCTGATAATGAGCTAGTTGAGATTTAACCTTTTATCCTGGGCTTAAAAAAGTTACAGAAAAATGTCCAAATTTACAGTCACATCGATTCATATTATCTTTCATTCCAGTTTCATCATCCCATTGTGCAACTAATCGTTTCTGCGGACTGATGAACACATTGGTGTCACAAAATGAACCTTTTGCATAGCACAACCAGTGATAAAACAAAATACACTGGACAGGTAACCTAAATTTTCAGTTTGAAGTCCCGTACCACATCTTATTTTTAAAAGACGAAAATCCTAACAGAATTCATCGTCACCTACTTCCCTACAACGTAATGATATACCTCGGGTCTAAAAGAGAAACATCAAAATGGAGTCGGATTCTCGAAAGCAAGCACACATTTATTCACCTGATATTTTACCATAGTATGCACCGGGACTGTAATAATGTCTGATTTCAAACCATGGGAATCCGAGCTCCAGAAATATCAAAGAAATTAAAAGTTACAATGCACATTTGAAGGCTCAACATATATACAACCTCTTCAATAGAAAAAAACATAAAAAGATGTTAATTCTTCTTCAAATGGACTGAAAACATTTGTCTTACACCAGCTAAAGTGCTCTAAATGTAAATGATAAACTTCATCTATCTTAGCTGTCCTCATCGCATTTGTAGCTCAAAGCAACTTCTTAAAAATTAGTAGTGCGATTTACTGCATAAAACACTCGACTTTTAAGCAGCGTTTAGAGTTCGAAGCCCCTTTCACCCAATTCAGACTAAACAACCTGGGAGTTTTCTAATCCCTCACACAATGTGGGGCTCATTGTATAGTACATAAACTTATGTGGAGTTGTCTCATTGGTTTAGGGAGAGGACTTTCAAAAGTGGGTCACGGGTTCGAACATCACTCCATCCGCAAAGGTTTGGGCAACCACGTAATATCATCAGTCCTCAAACACAAGGTGTAGGTCATTGCCTACTACAGAAATATGCACAAGGTAGCTGAGTAGATTGCCAATTCCCAAATAAATCCACACAGCGTTGAGTTGCAAACTTTACATTTTTATATTTTAGCCTTCAGTGAACCAGAATCATGAGATGAATTAAAACGTATAGACTTACTCTCGTATTCGGTTATCTATCGTGCATAAAACATCTGAAACTTTGTTGGTCCCAACGACATACGAAACAAATAATCTAGCATCAAAATCTGCACTGGAAAAACTCTCCGTCAAGCTTTTATCCATTAGTTCTTATAAAATTATTACCTGTAAAACAAATAAGAATGAATGAAGAAAACAGAAAATATGTTAACAGACAGTAAGTATATTAGTTTCATAGGCACCATTATTAATGACGGAAGACGAATGTATATGCCTGAATTTAAACAGCATGGATAAGAAATATGCCTGGTCTACTATTTATGTCCCCTGGATCTTAAGTGACTGGTGACCTCAAAGAGTTGCTGATTGACTAACAAAATCAACGTATAACCTCGCACACAAGTGCATCGGCTGAAGCAGCCACACTTCATAGTACTACAAAACAACAGGCGGATAGAAAAAGTCATATCAATTAGACGAAGTTGTGTGAGAGAATAAACAACTTGAAAATAAGTTAGTGCGAATATTCAAGCATTAGATGTGAAGTGTATACATTTGCACCATTGTGACTAATTTTCAGCCGTGTCACTAAGAGCCCTCAACCACTGATCTCTTTCGTCTCGGGGACCCCAACCAGGCAATCTACATCTCCCCAAACGGCTTAGGTCAACAGTAAGAGATTTCATCGGCCGCCTTCCAACCTAAGCCAACTTCCTCTGGCACGGCACATCGAGGGCGGTGGTCGCTCGGCATGCCCAGTACATCTCCAAGCCATTTTAGTCGACTAAGGTTAACAGTGGTCAAATCATACCTAGAATGTAATTAATAATTACTGAAACAACCCAGTAAAGGTTTATGTACTAAGCTACGAGACATTTTCCGGGTAACGGTTTATACGGGGTACAGATAGTTCTCTAGTCCAAATATAAGGCTAATGTTTTGAACAGAATAGAGGCTTGATGTTGACCCACAACTTCTTGAGAAAATCTGAACACACACTCCGTCACTCACTGAATCTTAGTTGTAGCACCAATTTTAGAAGACATAAAGAAACTAAGCCTAGAATATAGCAGGCTAGATGTCAGACACAATTTCCACTCCCTACGAGTTGTTAAACCCTGGGATGCTCTTCTTGCAAAAGTGATACAGGCTACTTCGTCTGGATCCTTTAAACGCCGGTTTGATACCTAAGACGTGTGGGATCTGCTCAGAGCTAACTGAATTTCTAAATTTTACCTCCTACCTTTTGCTCCCTTTCAACATTACACACGAAAAAAGATCACAAATAGTACTACCTAACCAATGATCCACAGATCATGGATGCGGAAGCCAGCTAAGCAAAAGCCCCTTCTATTCCGTCGAAACCATTTGAATACTTCAGTAGACAAACATGCTAGAAGGGACTGCTGTCCAGCGTCTGACTACAATGGTTACCGTGGTGATCTCCTGTTTTCGTTTTCTTCAGAAAAAAGCTACTTCAAGCGTAACCGTAACAAACACGAAGTTGGCCGATCGTGTCTCCTCATTCGTGATGGACTCCCGTGTACCAACTGTCCTAATGTCGTCAAGAATGGGCATGGCTGGAATGACTAAACATTCCTACATTTCGTTTTGTTGGCAATTATCCATGTCTTTACCATTAAGTAATGAAGTAAGTTGGATAGCTACTTGGGGTAAATTTATAAGTCTAATTACTGTCACTACTGGAAGGAATATCTCGCGGCCAATAGCACAAACCTGGAGATGGTACTACTTTTTTATTATGCAGTAAATAAATTTCGCACGATTGCCTGTTGATTGTATGCAAGTAATTGTTTGAAATTTATTTACCGCATAGTCAAAAAGTGGTACCATCTCCAGGTTTATGCTATCGGTCGTGAGATATTCCTTCCAGTAGCTACAGTAAGTAGACTTAAATTTACTTTAAACAGCTATCCAACCTATGATAAGCTTAATATGTTTCGTAATACAATTATCATAGGTGACAGAATTGCTTGTAGGTGTGGGGTGGTGCCTATCTTCGTCTCAAAATACGCGGAGAGCACTCGGCTACCCAGTTCGCCGGAGAGCGTAAACGAGATGGAATGAAGAGGAAAAGAATATTACGTACCCGTTATTGTTACGATTTAAATTTATTTTCACGTTTAAGTCTTGTACATGACATTAAAGGCATGTACCGAATTCGGTCAGTGTGAAACATGTTTTTAAACTTCGAGTGCACTTTGGAACTTTTGACATTTTCGTGGGGAAAGTTTGGAACATTCAGGGAATATCGTGCGTTTCCCGATAGGCGCCCGAAGTAAAATTCCAGGGTTTTTGCACAAAAGTTACAAAGTGTGCCAGAAGTAAGTGCTGGCTTCCTATCATCAAAATATGCTACATTTTAGACCAATATAAACATATGTCGATACGCTAATTTCCAAACTTGATTGGGTGGTCTTTGAATTCGCTAGGAAAACTAACTCTCTAACAATAAGAAGAGATGCTTGGTGGCTCCAGACAGCACAAATACGATCAGACGCGAGTCACCAGACTCGGTCGTCACCTGGAGTGCCAGTCCATGGACGTAATTCCCTATTTCGCGCTAATGAGATAAAGCGTTGATTGTCGTTTTCTGATTGGTCAGTTTGATACAGCCCTTATAAAAAAAAGCCGTATTTTCTAATTCTAGAAACATCAAGGATTCATTCTTGCGCCGAATAGGAGCATTTTTGTAACAAGCGGCATTTGTAAATCCAATATCCAATATTGATAGTGCGAGCATAGAAAACTAGTAGTTTTTGATCTCTCGCGTCTAGTTCTTAGGGCTTGGTTCGAGTTGTTCGGTTTACTCCTGCAGTGGACGAGGAAATCCCCTCTGCTTTCTTGCTTTTAGCTTCGGTGAGGTGGATGTTTTGTGGGTTAGTAGGTTGTAATTTGTAGAGTGATTAGGGAGCTACGGGCTGCTGGGAAGTTTAGAGAACTGCCGTGACTCCTGTCTGTGTAGGTACCTGAAAGAGAATAGTAAGGTAGTGGTAAAGGAATGAAGAGAGAAATAAGGAAGAGAAAAAAAAAATAATAATAATATAGGGAAGAGAAAAGGGAAGGAGAAGAAAAGGAGGGTGAAAAGAGAAATGAGAACGAAAGAAAAGTATTTGGGAATTGCCCGAATGGTCGCGTGGGTTTGGTTCCTACAGAAGAATTAGTAGGTAATGTGGGTGTATTAAGGAGAGAGATAGTGAGTGGTAGTTAGGAGGGAGTTGGGGGTACTGAGGTTGGTGACTACCTGAGTACGTCCGTGGTAGTCCATGCGAGGTGACATAACTGTCTAATCGCCTCTTGAAAGAGTCGATTGAAGGAGCTATAACGATGTGTCGCGGTAAGGCATTCCATAAAGCACATACTCTTAGGGAGAAAAATTTGGACCTGAGTGTGGTGTTGGCTCTCTGGTGTGCTATCTTAATGGGGTTTCCTCGTGAAGATCGTTCAGTTGCAGGCAAAATTGATTTGTTTGCATGGTCTGCCTGATGGGCGATCTTGTATGCCATAATGAGGTCACCCCTTTTCCTGCGATAACCCAAGGTAAATAGGTTGAGGTGTTTAAGTCTTTCAGGATACGTCTTTCCCCTTAGCCCCACAACTGATTTTGTTGCAGTTCTTTGTATTCTTTCAAGGAGATTAGAGTCTCTCTTGAGTGTTGGAGGAGCCACCGTATTGAAGACCTCTAGGTGCGGCCGCACGTAGGATTTGAAAATGGTGAGGAAGAGTTCGGGAGTGAGGGCGCCAAGCTGTCTACGCAGAAAGTGTAGAATGGCGTTCGCTCTGGTTGTCATACCTTTGTAGTTGGAGCTGGTGTCCAAGGTGTCGGAGAAGTTGAGCCCCAAATCTTTCTCCATGGACACTCTGGTGATAGCACGGTTGCTCAACATGTACTGGAAGTCGGTCGTACTTGCCTCATTTTTACTGATGTGCATTACTTTGCACTTTTCCAGGTTGAAGCTCAGGCCATTTTCCGACGACCAGAGCTCGAGTTGCTGCAAGTCCTTTTGTAGTGCTGCACAGTCGGCTTCTTCGTTTACCACCCTCCAAATTTTTATGTCGTCAGCGAAGAGGAGGATGGGTGAGGATATTTTGTCTGGCAGATCGTTGACAAACAGGAGGAACAGAAGCGGTCCTAGGATTGCTCCTTGGGATACTCCTGACGTCGACGGTCTCCACTCCGACCTTATTCTGTTCACTTTAGTGCAGAACTGCCTCCCTTCCAGGTACTCCTTGAACCAAGAGAGTAGGGGTCCACTTATACCAGCTGACATGATCTTGTGAAGCAGTACTGTGGGTGGGACACTGTCAAATGCTTTGGCTAGGTCGAGAAATACAACATGTACAGGTTTTCTATTATCCCAGCTTTGTGTCCAGTCGTCCCAGGCGGTTAGTAAGTTGGTGGCACATGAGCGACCACTACGAAAGCCGTGCTGAGCAGTGTGGACAGTGTTTTCCTATTGAGGAATTCCCAGATGGTGTCAGCTACCAGGCTTTCCAACACTTTCGACACAATAGGGAGTAGGGCAATCGGCCTGTAGCTGCCAGGGCTTTTTCTGTCTCCTCCCTTGAAGATGGGTGACAAGATGGCACTCTTCCATTCTTTAGGGAGTTTGCACGAGTCTATTGAGTGCTCAAAGAGGTTGCGAAGTGGTTTGGTAAGCACCTCGGCGCAGTTTTTCAGAACCACTGGTTTCAGGTTATCGCAGCCAGGGGACTTGCCCGGACGTAGCCTAGATAGCTTCTCGAACACCTTTTTCTCTGTAATAGAGACGTGACAGAGGTATTCGTTATTTGCGACCTGGTCGGTGTCGTGGCGAGTCGGTGTGGATCTTGTGTCAGTGCTGAGTTGGGCTTGGAAGTGTGAGCTCAAAAGCTCGGCAATCTCTAGACTGCTTAGCACACTCCCGTCATGGCCTGTGACAAGATTCACTCCCTTACTGGTCGACTTTCTTCTTGACATGAAGCGGTACAGGTTTTTGGGGTTGCTTTGTAACCTCGCTGCCAAGTTTGTTTGGTAGGAAAATCTGTCGTTACGCACTCTAATGTTACAGAGATTGCGAATCCTTTTGTAGTTCAAGAAGTCAGACTCCCTGCGTGATGTACGCCACTTGAACCAAGCCTGCTTCTTGCTCCGGATAAGCCTCTCTGTCCCACGCTTTAACCATGAGGTTCTCATTGATTGTCTGTGTGTTACTTCTGGTACACTGTGACTGATGGCCCCAGTGATTATTTTCTTCACCTCCAACCAGTGTTCATCTATTGTGAGATGAGTCCAGTCCACTGGCCATGATGCATTCATGAGGTAGTCCCTCATGGTCTCATAGTTGGCCTTGCTGTAGCAAGGGAAGGTGTTGGGCGTCTCCAGTTGCAGAGCCTCCCTAGTTATCATGGAGAAGGTGATTACAGCGTGGTCACTGAGGCCAAGGGGAGGTTGGATGCAAACATCCTCAATGAGAAGTTCATCGTTCGTCAGAACGTAGTCAAGGCGCGATGCGTTTCCGTTAGGTCCCCAGCGTGTAGCATCACCCACTTTCTCTGAGAGGCCAGCAGTCTTAATTGCATCCTTCAGCTTCTGATTGAAGGATCTGATGCGTCTCCCTTCCGTCTCGAAGAGGATGGACGGGGTGTTGAAGTCGCCGGCAATGACTACGGAATCGTAATTTGCAGAGGAAGTCGTTAAGATAGCCTTGATGATCATTTCCTTATGTGTAGGGGAGCTGGTGGGGGACCGATATATGACTCCGAGCAGGTATTTGGTACTGTGGAGAGTGAAGTAGCACCATAGGGACTCTGGGAGCTGGGTTAAGGCCGTATCGCTAACCATCCTTGCCTTTAAACAGGAGTTTACGTAGATAGCCACTCCCCTCCTGCTCTATGTTCCCTGTCCCTGCGGAAGAGTTCCATGCCAGTAACATGCATCTCTTCGTCGGAGATGTCTGGCGAGAGCCAGGATTCGGTGATGAATATGATGTCGGAGTGCTGATGTGCACGCAGCGTCCTCATTTCTGCTACCTTCCCTCTTAGCCCCCTAACGTTGCTGTACATACATATTAGAGTGTGCCTGGTGAGGGGGAGGTCTGGTTGTGTATTTTCGCAGGATGACAGCTTATGTGGTTGGGTCTACCCTCGCCAGTCCTCATAGGACTGGCATTGTTCCGTTTTTTGGTGTTTTGTTATTAACTTGGGTGGGGGCTGTGGCAGTGGTGGCTTCTTTACTTGATGTATCTAACTCACTGGTCAGCGCCTGTGTGACGACCACTGACTCCAGAGGTCTTGGTGGTTGTCGTCTCTCCTCTTGCCTTGTGGGTCTAGGCTTACTTTCACATATACGTATTGAGCCACCCATGCGATCCTTCGCATTATACCATGCCTGTAGAACGTCTGTGAGGGAGGCATATGAGTCGAACTGGACGGCGAGTAGTCTGGGATTGGGTATGGTCTTCAGGTGCGCTGGCCTTGGCAGTCTACTGACGCTGTTGGCCGGTATACTGTTGAGACCAACTTTGGTTGAGAGCCATTGCCATTGTTGGACGTCGTGAAAGTACCGATCTTTGACCGAGCGGTCACTTGGCAATTCTGGAATCCCATGTACAACTATAGTGTTGTTTCTGTTGGGATTTCCAACCGCTGACTTTCTCTCCTCCTCTCTTATTGACCATGGCTTGTCAGGCCTGGCCCGAATTTTACAGGCATTAACAACGTCCGGTTGTCGCGAGAGGAGGAGTGTGTCTTCAGCCTCTTTGGTAGTATTTAGGGACACACGTAAAGGGGGTGGCTTATCTCGGGGTGCACGGCTTCCTCGAGAAAGGCGACATAAAGTTGCAGGGAGGGGAGGGAGTCCCAGCATCTGACAGTAGTCGGTCCACATTCGGCTGTCAAACCGTTCCCTCTCGACCAACAATGAGTCTGTCGATACATCGACGTTGAACAAAATGATCGAGTTGGTCCTCCTGTGACCTGGGTTCGTTGTGGGTGGCACGCCCGACTTCCCAATGGGTTTGAGTAATTCCACTGGTTGTTTCTCAGTCACGGTGTGTGGGGTGTTTGGAATGGGTTTCGTAGAGGCTTTAGCGGTCGATGTCTTTGGCCATGCGCTTGACGTCCCCTGGGGCCGGGTAGGAGGTATGGAGACTTGACCTAATATGGTCCCCACGCGAGGTGGCGTGCCGGCAGCTGGAGCTCTAGGTCTGTTTCCAGGTCTCTCTGTGTTATCCTTTGGTGTTAACCCTACTTTATTCGAGGATGCTGGTAGCTTTTGCGTGGCGGAGAGCATCTCCTTCAGGCTTTCTGTGCGGAGTGCGGGCATTTTCCTGCACTCTGGACAGATGTACCAGAACCACTTGCATGGTTGTCTCTTCATCAGCTTATAGTATTGTCGGGGGACTTTGGTGTCGCAGTGGCAATGCGCCCATCGTTGACATAGGTTGCATGCAAATGCCTCATCGACTACCGAAACAACTTTGGTGCAAACACTGCAGCCATCGGGTGTCGTAATACAGCCTTCCTTGCATGAATAAGGTGCTACGGATTGTGGCGAACTGCTTGTGGCTGCCTTGTTCTGAAGCCTTTTACGTCGTCTTCTATTTCCAGGCATGGTATGATCCTTGCTCAAGATAGGACTAGTTTGTGACGGGCTAGTGCTACTCTGTGTCACCTGTCTGATGGCTACTGGAATTC